TTGATGCATTCATTGTTGTATCATGCACTTTCCCAACTGAGTTTGATACATTAAAATATGGACATTGGTGTGATGAGTCATTATAACTTAAAATATTGTGTTATTTCATTACATAAAATGACCTTTCTGCCATTTCATCCTTGACAAACTTCAAAACTTATACATAGTTTCAAAACTCAGTATATCCAACAACAATTCTCACCACTTTGTATTGACATCATTGTGTTCAAATAATTTTAATTGTTAAAAATGAAGATCTATATCACCTGAACATTATATCTCTTATAGATATGAAGTTTTAAGAGCCTTTCCCTCAGGGATATGCAATTTAAGTGTCATATGAAGATAATGGTAGATAAAGGTGAAAGAAGAAGAGATTACAAGATAGAGCAAAAAGGTTAAAAGGGGGCCATGCCTAGATAAGCATGCCATTATTATTCTTAATATTGACATACATACTTGATTCCATTACTTATTGACTAAAGTTAATATTCAATCAAGACATTAATAATTGTGGCCTTTCAAGTGCAATACATAATCATTATCTGCAACTACTTAATTAATATGTAGTAAGAGAGTTTAAATTATGTTGACCATATTTAATCATACTCATTAAATACCATAGTTAATCTTATTGATGAACTTCTTGCCTCAACATCGGTGTACATGCACTATGATAGGGCAAGCACTTTATCAATACGTGCTCTATGTACATCTATTTTTACAGTTTATTTAGGTGTTCAATTATTTTTCACATTGATAGATTATCATTCATGTGCATGCGACAATCAATAAATAGTTTTGACCCTGGACATGTGTGGAACTTTGGGTTAATAATTAGCCATGACCACCAATTAATCGATCTCTTAAAACACTTTCATCAAGTTTCATTTAACATGAAAATAAATAGGTAGAATGTTCACCATATCTCAAATCCCATGACCAAAGTTCTTATGTTAGGCATTGGTCTACATGTATAGACAAGTCCAGTCAAAAAATAAAGTTACATAAATATAAATATAATATAATTAATTATATATTATCGAAAACATTAATTTAACCAAATTAATTATATTAACCTTAACGATCCTCAATGTTAATAATATTTACCTATGACGTTCTTTCAATAAATATTTAATTTTCTATGTTAAGAATATAACACAATCTTCACTCTTAAATATTTATGGGTTATGGGTTTAGGCACAGAAAGTGTGGGTTCAAAGAAAATTGCCCTTTTTAACCCATGTCATATAACGAAATACCCAATAAAATAATAGCATTAAATTATATCATATAATCGATGAATGCTCAGAGGGTTAGAGATAGCGGCAGTGACCAGATCCGGCAACGTCGCCGATAGGAGGCGCGTGCGTGCACGCTGGCCAATCGAGAGGTAGGCGTACGTCTCCGTCCCTTGCTACGCCCACGTTGCTCCACCATCGCCGTCCTTCTTCTTCCTCTGGCAGGCAGCTACTTCCTCCGGCGGGGATCATTAATAGACTGAACCCCTTGGTGGGCAGTCGAGCAGAGAGGGGAAGAAGCTGCAACGCGGATCCCTGCTTGTGGGTATGGAGGAGAAGGTAGGCAGGGGAGTTCCTTCTTCCGGTATCTTCGCTCTCCTTCTTGTTCTCCTGCTGGTATCGCACTGCTGCTCCGGCGTCCGAGGGGTCGCTTCCTCCGGTGTACGGGAGGAGGACAAGGTGCTGCAGTTGCCGGGGCAGTCCTTCAATGTCAGCTTCGCCCACTACTCCGGCTATATCACAGTCAACGAAGAGTCCGGGAGGGCCCTCTTTTACTGGTTCTTTGAGGCCGCCGAGGACCCCCCCTCGAAGCCCCTCGTCCTCTGGCTCAACGGAGGTGATCTCCTAATTTCTTCCCATCTTTCTGCGATGCTGTTAGATGTTTCACTTCGGCAATCCACGACTCTGTGACTGCTCCTGAGGCGTCGAGGTTTGCATTAGGGTTCATGGGGTTCATGCGATTCTCCTAACGGAGACTCTTGGGTGGTTTGATCGAGAGGAGATGTGTTTGCAGGTCCTGGATGCTCTTCTGTGGCTTATGGATTGGCAGAAGAAGTGGGACCTTTCCATATTAATCCAGATGGGAAAAGTCTCTATCTGAATTCGTATTCGTGGAACCAGGGTGAGTTTCCTGGGATCCCCTACGATTCCTCTGAGCAATGTCCGCGATCACAATATTATTTGGGTTCTCTGTGAAGAATTATTCATTACTCGTGCTTTGACTTTTGTTTCTGTCTGGAAAGACTCATTGGTAAATCAGGCCGCTGATCCCTGTCTTTGACATTAGCTCCGAGTATTTATAGAAAAGGGCTAAATTGATCCTCACCAAAAGAACGATTTGCCATTTTTTGCCTAAAATTATGCATAAAAGTTCCTTAATCGCATTATCTTGTCCTATTTCAGTAAATCTGATTTACTTTTTTTGGGTTGCCACGTACCTCAGACCGATAGTTCCTACATAGCTCACATTTTTTTAGTTATTTCCATTTTAAAATGCTTAAAAATCATTGTGATTTCCCCCGTGTTTAAGTTACTGTGATTTCCTTTATTTTTTCATCCTCTTAAAAATAGAAAATTTAATTCCTTTTTTTTCTAATTTTAGCCGAAGATGCATAAGTAGTTTTCTTTCTATCGTATCTGAGTAATCCTCAGAACAGCCCATCTTTCCCATTTTTCTATTTTTAGTAAAAAAATGTGGAAGAAGGTTCCTGAAAGAGGTTTACTTCCCCATTTTTGGCACACGACGAGGTCTCATAGGAGCATGTGCGAGAAACCGTTGACTTTGTCTTTTCTATTTTTTCTCTCTGCCACACAGCTGCAAATATCATCTTCCTCGACTCGCCTGTTGGCGTCGGCTACTCCTACTCGAACAACTCCAAGGATATACAAAGCAACGGCGATGAACGGACTGGTAAGAGACTGAAGAGCCCCCTCCACCCAATTGCCAGCTGGAATTGGATTGGTGGGCAAAATGGCGATCCAAACCCAATCAGGATCAGACGCAATGCACTGTATCGAATTACCTGATGAAATTTATTTTTTCTTTGGGGGAAAAATATGATTTTTTTTTCTGTTTTGATGATTTGATCGACAATCATGCAGAATGCTTTTCTTTTTTAAAAAAAATTCTTTGCAGCAAAAGATTCATTGGAATTTCTGAAGAATTGGTTCAAGGAGTTCCCTGATTACAGTGGGCGAGACTTCTACCTGGCTGGAGAAAGCTATGCTGGTCTAATCTCATCTCTCATCCCTTTCTTTTTTCCTTCTCATATTTCCATTTATTTTATTTTATGGTCCATTAAAATTTCCTCCTAATATTTCCCTGTTTGACTATACAGTCCACTCATTAGAACTTAATTTATGGGCACTCGTTTATGATTTTTATTTTTATTTTCTATCATATTTCCGTAATTGATTCTCTTCTACTGTTCAAACCTTAATTAACGGGTGCTTATGCATTTTTCTGCAGGACATTATATTCCTCAGTTGTCCCAGGCGATTGTCAGATCTCAAAAGCTGACTGAAGGAAGCTCGATCAATCTAAAGGGTTTCATGGTCTGGTTCTTCGCTCATTTTCTCCTTAATCTTACATAAAATACTGAGGAAAAAAATAATCTGGATAATCATTGTTTTAAAAAGATATAAAAAATGTTCGGAATGACTGAGTATTTTGGTCTCTATATGGAGAGGAAGAAAGCTTAAAGGACTAATTTTTTTTAATGGATTTTTTTTGGGCTACTTATTTGATCAAAAATGAGGGGATCAGTCGGAGAACCCATTATTTTTTTTTTCTAAAAATATGGATTAATTTGATGGGTTTCATGCAGGTGGGGAACGCTTTGACCGATGATTTCCGAGATCGCTTGGGGATATTCCAGTTCATGTGGGCCTCGGGCCTTATATCCGATCAGACCTTCAAGCTGCTCAACCTTTTCTGTGACTTCCAATCCTTTGTGCACATCTCTCCGCAATGCAATAGAGTGCTCGATCTCGCCGATGAGGAGATCGGGAACATCGACCCCTACAGCATCTTTACTCCCTCCTGCACTCAGAGCGGCAGCTTCTCGAGGGACAAGCTGCGGAAGAGGCTCCATGTGAGTAGTAACTTCTGTTATCGTACTCGTTGGGGTTGACTTTTGGGGCCTCAGCCTGAAGAAAACCGGGTCAACTCCAGCTGGGCACCAAGCTTACCCTTACATGCTGAGTCTATTTATTTGCCTTTTGACGCCACAGCCTGAAGAAAACCGGGTCAACTCCAGCTGGGCACCAAGCCTACCCTTACATGCCGAGTCTATTTGACTTCTTTCCTAAGGGCGACCCTATCCCTTTGCTCCATTTGTCCACAGCCAAATTCTTCGGATGTCTCTTCAATCTGTGCCAGGATTGGCCGGGGCCTGCCTAAATATGGAAAAAAACCAAGCCCAGCTAGTTGGACTTCATTTTTTTTTTTCCTTTTTGGGGAGTGGTGGGGGGTGGAATTTGAGTTCCTAGTCAAAGACAATGGTGCTCATCTGGAGCCTCTGAATCTCACTCATGTTGTGATGTCTACCTGCTCTTTGTATGGCAGTCTTTCGGGAGGATGGGAGAAAAGTACGACCCCTGCACCGAGCAGCATTCGACGGTGTACTTTAATTTGCCAGAGGTTCATACGGCCCTTCATGTCCACCCTGCAGCCACGCAGTCCAAGTGGGAAACTTGCAGGTTGGTGCAAGTTAGAGAGAGAGAGAGAGTGGGAGGGGGAGAGTGAGAGAGAGAGAGAGTGAGAGGGAGGGAGAGAGAGAGAGTGGGAGGGAGAGAGAGAGAGAGAGAGAGAGAGAGAGAGAGGTGGGAGGAGAGAGAGTGGGAGGAGAGTGAGAGAGAGAGAGAGAGAGAGAGAGAGAGAGAGAGAGAGAGAGAGAGAGAGAGAGAGAGAGAGAGAGAGAGAGAGAGAGAGAGAGAGAGAGAGAGAGATTAATTCCTTAATGATCTTATTTCTTTTAATGGGCATAAATTAATCGGGGTTTTTTCTATTATACTTTTCAGCGATCTGGTCGGTGAGTATTGGAAGGACTCCCAGCGGTCTATTCTTCCTATCTACCATGAGCTCATAGCCCACGGGCTACGCATCTGGATGTTCAGGTGACACATCACCACTCGCAGATCGTGCAGTCATTTATCACACCTCTCTTTTCCCAAATATTCTTTCATCTTATACGCTGCTAAATATGTAAAAAGTGTCCTTTTTATTGCACATATCTCCAAAGTCGCAGATGTCTCATCATGCATGTTCCTATGTATGAACTCATCTCATCATGCATGATACTATGCATGCGCTAGAAAATATGTAGCCATATTATTGCACATATCTCCAAAGTTGAAGATGTCTCATCATGCATGTTCCTATGTATGAACTCATCCCATCATGCATGATACTATGCATGCACTTATTTAATCATATTTTCCAAGTAGATGGTCATTTTTTCCGGGCACATATTCATGAAATTATGACGTCATTTGGGGTATATACCAGTAAGTAGCTTCCCTTTAACTTTTTTCCAGTGGGGACAATGATGCTGTGATTCCGGTGACATCGACTCGGTACAACATCAATGCCATGAAGCTTCAGACCGTCACCCCTTGGCATGCCTGGTATGATGACGGCCAGGTACGACCGTGATCCCTCTGGCCATTCTGTAACTAGGGTTTGATTCATGGGGAATAGATACTGCCAGCCAGAGTTTCTATTTATGGAAACCCAGTTAGTTCATTGGATAGCCTGATCCTGCCCCTCGCCATCTGGATGAAATGGGATCGACCCAGTTGACCAGCTGGGTCAGGCTGGATCAGGTCGGGTGGACAGAGTTGACCAAAACCCAAGTTCTGAGAATTCCATGGAAGAGAATTGAAAGGGAAAGTATGATTTATCAAGTCTGAATTGATGTATTTATATACAGACCGGATCGACGGAGTTGACCAAAACCCAAATTCTGAGAGGTCCATGGAAGAGAATTGAAAGGAAAAGATATGATTTACCGAGTCTATATATATACAGATCAGGTCAACAGAGTTGACCAAAACCCAAGTTCTGAGAATATCATGGAAAAGAATTGAAAGGAAAAGATATGATTTACCGAGTCTATATACATACAGATCAGGTCGACGGAGTTGACCAAAACCCAAGTTCTGAGAATCTCATGGAAAAGAATTGAAAGGAAGAATATGATTTACCGAGTCTGACTTGATCTATATGTTTGTGAAATTGCTATGAGATTATTTTCTGATTTGGTGTGTGTGTGTGTTGTGTTGTTGATATTGTTGATGTAGGTAGGGGGGTGGACGCAGGTGTACAAGGGTCTCTCCTTTGTGACGGTGAGGGGGGCCGGCCATGAGGTCCCCCGTCACAAGCCCAAGCTGGCTCTGGTGCTCTTCAGGGCCTTCCTCTCAGACAGCCCCATGCCTACCCTCTCGGAGGTCGCCGATTCTTGACTCAAACCCCATTGACACGGGCCACAAGGTGCCTCAAACTTGGCATGAATGATCATTCCACACTCTCTATCTCTCTCTCATTCCTCTTTCTTTCCATTATGATCTGCTGAAAGTTGTAGCAACGTCTACCCAAAAGAAGAAAACATTCTTGCACTGCCCCTCCCACTGTGTATATGTCTGTCTGTCTGTCTGTCTGTCTATCTATCTATCTAGCAATGTCTCTCCCCTTCTGATAATGCCATACTACCTCTCTCTATCTCTCTCTATATCTCTTCCTCTCCCTCGCTCTCCCTCTCTCTCTCTCTCTCACCCCACAAGTTGCCACAGAGATTAGCCACATCAGAGCGGGGAAAGAACCAGTATATCTCCATAATTAACATTATAAAACCCGCAGTGTGTCACACAATATCATAAAGCAAAAGTCCTACACGTAGAACAGCAAACACGATCTCTAAGAAGATTACAGACAGTACAAGTATGAACAAGCCATACCTCCTCTCTCCTCATGAACACCCTCTCACAGAGCAAGCTCATCGTACAGCCATCCTTCACACCTGCAAATAATCGGCGCCCAGCAACAGCAGCAGCAGCGTTGACCTCTCTACCTCATGGCCAGCTTCTTGAGATGGTGGAAGGTCCGCTGCTTGATCCACTCTCGATCGTAGGGGAGGTATGCTTGCATCGAGTGATCGAACCTGCGACCAGGGAGGAGAAGGGGAGTGAGGTTAAGAGGGAGGGGTGAGGGATCAAACTCCAAGTTGACCATGAACTCCTAATGGAGGGTCCACTTACACCAGCGCGCTCAAGTCTGTGAGGCCGTCAATGAAGTTGTATAGATCGGCGATGTCATACTGTATGTTTCTGACAGTCGGGTTAAGCTCCTTCAGCTTCCGTTCGTAGAGCCCACAGATGCCTGTGCTCCGCATACAAACAGTGGATCTTATTGAGTGGAGTTGTGGAAGAAAAATTAATAACGGCAATAAGTCGCCAAGAACAAGACACTGATACCCAAAAAACGTTATATTTTATATAATACCACAAAAAAAAAGAACGCGTCAGCTTTTCCCCACACGACGGGGAGAGAGAGAGAGAGAGAGAGAGAGAGAGAGAGAGAGAGAGAGAGAGAGAGAGAGGGAGAGAGATTTTAATACCTTGTGAACACATCAACGGGCTCTAAACTTTTTGGGCAACTGAGTTGGGCACAATTTTTCCTTCCGGATTTGATTCTAATACCTTGTGATCGGGAGAAACTGAGCCAGACTAGGCTATGGGCTATCCCGGCAGATTCACAAAGGCTATAGGTATTATGCATATTATGCATTTATGACATATTATGCAATATATTATGTATATTATGAATATCAATATATACATATTATGCATTTATGACAATCATCGGGTGTACTTGGGTGAATTAAATTGTCCATAAGAGGAATTAATTCTGCCATGGAGAAGATGCGGAAATAAACAAAAGAACCAAAAAGTAGTAAATAAATAAGGCAAAATTAATAAATGATGCCAATTTTAAAAGAAGAATAAAAAGCTAAACGATTTCAAAAGAAAAAAAAAACAATAATCCGGAGCAGACGTAGGTCCAGGTTAGTAAGCCGCCGGATCAATAGAAGGGGTTGCTCATGTGGCCTTGGATTGGTCGGATGAAAGTTGCTCGTGACCCATATATGAGCCCCTTTGTCTGTCCTCATCACCTACATCTAGATCTTCCAAGGCATACCCCCCTTGGGATGTTCAACATAGATGGGAAAACCTCATGCACAGTGACCCACTTCAATGCACAGCCTAATTGTCTCAACCAACAGCCTTACTTGATCCAAATTCAATTTATATCGTATCAAAATTCTTCACTCAAAGTGAGAGTATTGACCAAAGGTCACAGTTGTCGCTAACGAAATAAAAAATAAAAAATAACCTCGCTATTGACGTGGTATTGAGAACTGTGCCACGACTACGTTGGCTATCTGGCATGGCCGAATTGCAACATTCAGGGAAATCCAATTTACCACAGTTAGAATTATCGTAAAGTCTTCTGAGGCCACTCGTTGATAGTCATAGAAAGTGAAGCTACAAGATAATGAGAATTTTTCTGCATACGGAGCCATTAATCACAGAGAAGAAAATGTGGATGCTAAACCCCCTATAGATCAACATCTGTATTGCAAACCATCTGTCTTATTGATACGATTCTACTACCACAATGAAGACCTATTAAAGCGTACATTTAAAAAGAGCGAATTAAATATAAAATGTAAACCGGAAAATCTGATCAACTGGAGCTTGTACACTTTAAATGGCAAACACATGGTAGTTTCTCAATAGAGGGATGAAAAATCTACCGGTTTTTTTGGCTGTATATCATAAGAAGCAATTATATTTGAATTACATCTCGATTTTGATATGTTCCTTGCCCTCTCTCACTCACCTCACTCTCCTGACGAGATTACAGCACCACCAGAAAACATTTATGAAGCTAAAACATGAATTCGACTAATTCTCTTCCCCTAGTTAGAAAATGTCTGAAGAATTTTTTCTTTGTGAGACAAACGATCACAGGGGAAATGCAATGGATCACTTTTGAAATTTAAGAATATTTAGATCAACATGCATATTCTGGGGGTGCGGATCAGATAGGAAACATTGTGGGGTGATAGACGTGAAAGGTCTTTTGTTACACATTGAGATACAAAGATATTAGGAACGGTATTAATCATAAACTTATGAAAGGAAAAAAAATCATGATGCCACCAGATGTCCCAACACCATACCATCCATAGCTTGACTGATTGAGTCGTAGTCCATGAACGTTCTGGTTGCCCTATTTGGGGATGATTGCATTAGAATAATTGTGTGCCTGTTAGCCTGCAAAATTATTAATTATCAGCACAAAGGCATCCCATTAAATCACGATATACTTTTCAATGACTTATTATACATGTTATATATACTCCAATGCAAAAAATTTCATTATAATGAAGATGGACAAGCAGCTCAGTAATTGTCTGATTGTCAAGGAAGAACTTCTCATAAAACTTCCACTCTAACTTAGGAAACATTCAAAGTTTGATCGACTGAGGACTGATTGGTCAAATGACAACACTGAAACCTTCATTAGCGTATGCAGCATTTTTGATAAATATTGTGAAAAAATATCATCAATGAGTACAGTAAGGCCGACTTGTTTCTTTCAGTAATCCTTGTGACTGTAAAGGTGACAATGATTTAAGTTTCAGGGGACTCTTCAAGCATAAAACCACAAAGAGGGAAAAAGTAAGAAACACTTTACATAAAAGGCAACCATAAATGGTCATGAAAATCCCCTGCCAAACCATATATTTCGCCAACATTGCGACTCCAAATCACTGATAACCAACAAGCAAAGGTGTATGGCTGCATCTGTTCAGATCTGTTAAGAATCATGAATTGCACAAGCGTATCTAGTATGAAATTACCTTTTGCAGGTGAATGCGCATGCTTTATTAAACCAAGCGACAGTAATTTTGATAAAATAAAAAAAAACTATGTAGAGAAAAATGATAGACCTCCCAGACATCAAAATATTTGCCCTGATTCCCAATAACACCCCAAACTTCACAAAACAATCCCTTAAAACCAAAGTTAGAAATATTCGAGACAAGCAGTAGTCTAGAATGTAGATACGTCTGCAACTACATATGAACTGATCAAACAATAGAGAGTCTCGCGCCCATCTACCCGACAAGCACCAAGATTTTATCCACGGGTCGTACAAATATGGGTGCATTTATGACGGTGACACACAGACTCAGCATAAGAAGGGGCCTCCTGATTTAGTGTTTTCTACATGGAAGTTTGTTCCAGGCTATGTGAATCATAGCAATGTTTTATTAAACTTGAACAGTTTGCCAATATGACGAAGAAGAGGATGCATGCAGTAAGTCCCCCATCAAACTGAGATGGGCATAGAAACCTTTACGGCAGGAGATACAGTAAGCTGTGAAGACAGATTCCTCATACAAAGGATTAGAATATTATTAGATGCCTCAAGGAACATCCACAGAAGCCACAGCAACACGATTCATTATATAACCATCGAAGCAATATTCAATGGCCACGAGAAATACTTCACATCAATGGGACCAACGCCTCTACATAACAAAAAAACAGTTCCATGTCTACAATGCGTGACAGGGCCCTATTCAGCACCGACATTAAACCATATCAACTGGACAACTATATTCCCAATACTTACCATTCGCATGATTAATTCCATAATAGAGAACATGGTTCGATACCTATAGAGATAAAAAAATGTTCTCGACACCTGAAAGCATCCCAGATCATTCAAACCCGTCTTTCATGAACCCGAAATGAAAATACTAATCACAAACAGGAACGCAGAGACTTCCGCGGCCACACAGGAACCAAAAATGTAACCCCGGACCTCTTCAAATCGCAAATAGAGTCAAAAAAGGCAATCTCCAGCAGTGAAATCCACAAGGGAATCAATGGATTCAGCACCAATTAAACGCCGCGCGATCCCAAGATATAACGGACGAAAACCGGAGGAGAGCAATGACGAGTCGCTTACCATCACGGAGGACTCCTCGGGGTAAACCCGATCTGATAGCAGAATCCCCCAGCAGCGATGAATGCCCTCGAGCAGCCAAGCGGGGTCGAGAAGGGAACGAGACGAGAGCGTGGTGACTCTGATGGCACTGCGCAGGCGAGAGAGATGCTGCCTCTACGAAAATAGGGAGAGGGGCCCTTCTCCGCGTGCTATGCAGGTAGTACTTTCGAGCATTTTAAGTTAACCGGAACCCCTGAAACAAGCCAGAACTCCTCCAGAGGAAGAAATCAGGCAGTGGGTTATTTTCCAATTTTTCCAAATTTTTCTCAGCTATTTTAATTTCTCATAAAAATAAGGTTTTCCTTCAAATTTCATAAAAATAGCCACAATAAACATACATATCTTCTCAAAAGCTAAGAACTTGTTGAGGAATTAATTTTCTTTCATGTCCATGATTATTTTATTATTTACATATTTAAATAATATTCATATAACGCTATATCTTATCATCGAAAGTCTGTATATTTTATTTCCAAAGAGAGAGAGAGAGAGAGTGAGAGTGAGAGAGAGAGAGAGAGAGAGAGAGAGAGAGAGAGAGAGAATGAGAGAAGGGAGGGAGAAAGAGGGAGAGGGAGGGAGGGAGGGAGGGGGAGAGAGAAGGGGGAGAGAGAGAGGGGTAATTCGTGTCCCACGAGGGACTTAAACTTAAATTCTTTACAGATAAGGCCGCCTTCGCCTCCATACACCCCCCTCCGGTGAGTATTATTATAAGCCAGGACCAGGCCCGGGCCGATCCGGGCCGCTCCCTTTCCAGCCTAGTCCACATAGCTGCTGTCTTTTACTAGGCCCGAGAAAAACCCGGAACATGATATTCATGTGACGTATCAACTTATCACGTCGACGTCATCTGCTCGCCTGACGTAGCTCTTAACACCCCGACGGGTCAACACCCACAGCTTCAACCTTCCACGTTTCTCGTATGAAAGAATCCAGCCCAGCTTAAGCCCCACTAACCGGCGCACCATTACCGTTAATCGCCTAAAACCCACCACCTATCAAAAGCTGCGGCTTTCCTACGTGGACGCCACCAGGGGACGGCACCGACGTGGGTAAACACGCGCCGGAAAGACCGGCGGCGCCGCCGTCCACGGAGGCGGCCACCTTCGACCGACCTCGCTTTCGCCGTCTTCTTCCTTCCCGCGTGGGCTTAAAAGCCATGGCCCTGTACCTTTCTCCTTTCTTGATCTTTCTCCTCTTCTCTTCTTCATCTTCGTCATCCTCTTCTTCCTCATCTTCGTCTTCCTCTGCGTCGTCATCTTCTTCCTCTTCTTCTTTCTCCTCCATGATCAGGGAGGTCCAAACCTACCTGTTCCTACTCGTATGCCTCCTGGTGGCGTCCGCCATTGGAGACGCCATCCAAGTTCACTCAACAGACCGCACAGCGCTGCTGTCATTCATGGCCGGCATAGCCAGCGATCCACAGAGCTCCCTCGGCAACTGGAACCTCTCCCTCTGCAACTGCAACTGGACGGGCATCCTCTGCGACAGAACCACCGGCCGCGTGGTGCAACTCGACCTCAGCGGCCGCTTCCTCTCCGGCATCATCTCGCCGGAGCTGGCCGCCCTCTCCTTCCTCACCGTACTGGACCTCTCCCGCAACCTCTTCTCCGGCAAGATCCCCGCGCAGCTCTGCAAACTGGAAGGGCTTACCCAGCTCAGCCTCTCCTCTAATGTCCTCGAAGGGCCAATTCCGCCGGAGCTGGGCCGTCTCCGGCGACTGGTCTACCTCGACCTGGGAAGCAACCGGCTCTCCGGCGACATACCGGCGGCGCTCTTCTGCAACTGCTCCCTCCTGCAATACGTCGAGCTTTCCAATAACTCTCTCAGAGGGGAGATTCCCTTGCCCAATGGATGCTCTCTCAGAGATCTGAGATTTCTCCTACTCTGGTCGAACTATCTCGTCGGCTCCATTCCCCGAGCTTTTTCGTACTCCTCCAAGCTCGAGTGGTTGGACGTGGGGTCGAACTACCTCGCCGGAGAGCTACCGGCGGCGATCATCTCCAAGATGCCTCGCTTAGAATTCCTCTATCTCTCTTACAACAGCTTCACAAGCCACGAATCCAACACAAATCTGGGCACTTTCTTCTCTTCTCTCTCCAACTGCACCCGCTTGGAGGAGCTCGAGTTGGCCGGAAACGGGCTCGGAGGGGTCATCCCCTCCGGCGCCGGCGACCTCCCCGTTGCCCTAATGCAGCTCAACCTGGCACAAAATCGCATCACTGGGCCCATCCCTCCGAGCATATCCAATCTCGTCAACCTGACCTACCTCAACTTATCGAACAACATCCTCAACGGGTCGATTCCTCCGAACTTATCTCGCCTGAGAAGGTTAGAGAGAGTTTATCTCTCTAACAACACGCTCACGGGAGAAATCCCTTCTGCTCTTGGGGGGGTCCCCCACCTGGGTCTGCTCGATCTATCCAGAAATCTTCTCTCAGGGACGATCCCCGAGAGCCTGTCGAATCTCTCTCAGCTGAGGCGGCTCCTCCTCCACGACAACCATCTCTCAGGAGCCATTCCCAGAAACCTCGGCGACTGTACAAACCTGGAGATCATCGACCTCTCTCATAATACCCTAACGGGTGAGATTCCCACCGGAGTAGCAGGCTTGGCAAGCTTGAAGATCTACCTGAACCTGTCCCACAACCTCCTCAGCGGGCCTCTCCCGCTGGAGCTGAGCAAGATGGACATGGTACTCGCCGTTGACGTCTCCTCGAACAAGCTCTCAGGTGTTCTTCCTCCACAGCTTGGCAACTGTGTCGCCCTTGAGTACCTCAACCTCTCCTGCAACCGCATGGAAGGCCTCCTCCCCAGTTCCCTCGGTGGGCTGCCTTACCTGGAAGTGCTCGATCTCTCCTACAATGAGCTGACAGGAAACTTGCCGGAGTCTCTGTCAACTTCCTCCTCTCTCAAGCAGCTAAACCTGTCCTTCAACAGCTTCTCCGGCGTCGTCTCCAGCGAGGGTGTCTTCAAGCTGCTGTCGGTAGACTCCTTAATGGGCAATCCAGGATTGTGTGGCGCCATTTCAGGCATGGCGAGCTGCGAGACCAAGAAGGGCCGAAAGTTCCCCATCCTGCCGGTTCTCCTCCTCACGCTGGTCATCATTCCATGCACGGTCTTCCTCGTGGGATGCCCTCTCGTGAGGAGGAAATCAAGAAGAGGACCGGCGGCGCCGCCACTGTTCCGCCGGGAGCACCTGCAAGAGGAGAGAGAGTACCCGAGGATCTCCCACCGGCAGCTCGCGGAGGCCACCTGCGAGTTCGACTCATCAAACCTGATTGGGTCGGGGAGGTTCGGGAATGTCTTCAAGGGAGTTCTAAGTGACGGGACGCAAGTCGCCGTCAAGGTCTTCGATCACCAGAGCAGCGGAGGCGGAAACATATCCGGCGACTTCCGGCGTGAATGCCGGGTGCTGAGGAGAACCAGGCACAGGAACCTGATCAGGATCATCACGGCCTGCAGTGGACCAGATTTCAAAGCTCTGGTTCTCCCCCTGATGCAGAACGGGAGCTTGGAGAGCCATCTCTACCCCCAGCGGCGGCTCGATCTGGTCCAGATTGTGAGCATCTGCAGCGACGTAGCGGAGGGGATGGCCTACCTCCACCATTATTCTCCGGTGAGGGTTGTCCACTGCGACCTGAAGCCGAGCAACGTCCTCCTCGACGAGCACTTAAATGGGCTGGTTTCAGACTTCGGCATCTCCAGGTTGGTGAATGTCGACGGAGACGGTGGCGATGAAGCTCCCGGTTCGCCGTCATGCAACTCGTTGACGGGCATGCTGTGCGGGTCCTTCGGCTACATCGCACCAGGTATGCACCTCTTGGGGTTTACAGCTATGGAAAGTGATAGTAAAAACTTAGGGTACTTACTACTCACCATTATTTAAACCCATCGGAGAGCTGACCGCCGGCCACCGACCCAATGTAGAATACGGCGTGGGAGGACGGCCCTCGACGGCGGGGGACGTCTACAGCTTTGGAGTCCTCCTGCTTGAAGCCGCCACCGGCAGGCGACCCTCCGACGTTCTCTTCCGCTATGGCCGGACTCTAAGAGACTGGGTCGCCGCCCAGTTCCCCCACAACGTCTCCGCCGTCGTCGAGGCGGAGCCGCCGCCGGGTGACCCGGTGCTAGCGCGATGGCGGAGGGCAGCCATGGCGGATCTGGTAGAGCTGGGCCTCCACTGCACGCGGGGCTCGCCCTCGGTGCGGCCCGCCATGGCCGACGTCGCCCGCGAGATCGGCCGAATCAAGCAGATCCTCCTCGTAGACGAGGATGATCTCCTTCCCCCACTGTAATCAAGCAATCCTAAAAGTTCAAAAGCTGTAAATGCCTTCTTCCACACACGGGCGAGGATCTGCTCAGGTTTGTGACCTTCGGAGGTTGAGGAAGCTCGTGTAAAACAATGGCGACTTGGAAAAGTAAATACAATAGTAGGATGATGATTACCACAGTTGGGTATAAAAACTCTACATGGAGATGCGGGTTGCCACGAAGAAATGAAGGGTTTAAACTAGTGCTTAAGGTGGTGATGCCCTTTTTTCAGTGGGTTCATATGGAAGGGCACTGACATTTAGGGTTTTGACGTCTAGGTGACCCATTGGCACAATTCACCAACTCCATCAAGGGATGGAGGTCCCATTCTCATCCAAGAAAGTGGGGGCGAACACTAGGTACAATTAGAGATAGAAAAGAGATTAAAAAATTGTCAGAAATTGCGCACCAAAAGACTCCACAAAAGTCATCAAGAAGGATGTTCATCTTGTTGGGAAATTAGAAATCATTGGGGAGCAATTGTTGGAGATGAGTTTTTTTAATACATAATATCTTTGCCGGCCACATAATTGATGCCTAAGTCCATGTAGACATGCCATGGCCAGAGGTTGAAGATGATCAGCCAACTCATTATAGGCATTTCTCTCTAATGAGGTCATTGAGCTCTAGGAATAAGTGACCCATGGTTCCGTCATTATTCAAGATAAACCAAACTTAGTCTTGGTCAAGGTCAGACTGACCATATATTATTTGATTTGAGTGGGCCAAACCTAATACTTTTGTAAAATTATTGAATTATGAATTATGAATATTTACCTAGTATTAATGTATATGCTTATTGATACTACATTTTAAAATAAAATTACAGTTCTGATAATGAAATGTAAAATTTCTATATGATCCTAAATTGTGATTTTTTAAAAAAATAAATTTAATTTAAATTATTTTAATGCCACTAAATAGTTTATTTTTTGCTCATCAATACAGAAATCTGGGTATTGACCCAAAGAGGGGTACTAGGGGCATCACTATTAGTTTCAAGAAGGCATAAAAGAAACCAAGAGTGGGGTGGATCAATCTTTTTGCAAATTTGTATCTAATTTTTAATTTTCTTTAATTTCTAGAACTAAGAACAATAGTGGCTAGCCACACTTAGCCTACCCCACCCTCTAAATATCACATCCTTAAGTTCTACTAAAACTTATTGGTACAAACATTGAACACTCAAGCTTCAATTAGTCTCCACTAAGATAGGGTAATTATTAGAAATATAAAAAATAATGACATGATTTCTAATCATTTAGATAATGTTAGTTTGTCACAATTCTTCAACAATGTTATAAAACAAAACCTTAAGTTACAGTTCATATAGGCTCAATTGTAATTCATCTTAAACTCATTTTCCTCAATTAGTTTGGAAGCATCACCCTAGCTTACAATAGGCTCATTAACTAGCAATTCTTCATCTTTGAAATAGTAGTTTAAAGACTCTTTTATCATTAAATACATTTTCTATGCATCTTCTTCTTTGGGAAAGAAGTATGTGTAATGTTGAACTTATAATTAATTGCCACAATAATGTTTGTGCTTTCAAATTTCAAACATATCAAAAACATGAGAATGGCTTCTTTTTCTAAGTATTTACGTTATAAATAAAAAATATTTTTTTACCAAAAACTTATCTAGATTTTTTAGAACCTAAATGATGAATGTGGTACATCTTAGTATATAATCAACTGATAAATATGTTGCTGCTCACCTCTAAATGCTTTGAACCATAACTATATACAAGCTTAATTTGTACCATGTTTATTATCAGTTCATAAAGATGATACTGCTCACTTTTTAGTGTTATGAACAAGAACTTGTATGTTATTAGAAATTTTGTTATGGTTTCCTTAATTTTCTGCATTTTTAATAAACCTACTAAAAGATTTTTGAGTATGTTTTATTTTGGAATGAAGTTATAATAGTAAATAAAAAGGATTAAAATTATCTTTTTTCTACCTCTAACTAAATTATGATATCCTACAATCATTAGATCAATAATTATAGTGGTTCAGTTCACTTTGTGTCCTCCACTCTTTGATGACCACATTTTTGGTTTCCAATACCACATTAATATAGATATGAATAAAAATGTTGAGCACAAGCTTCAACTAACATTTATTAAAATTTAAAAATATAGGTGACTCATGTTTCTCAAATACTTCTATTGATTCATGTCCCAAATTAACATTTTGTTAGCACTAAGGTAATATCTTCAAGTTTGGTGGCTCAATGTCAACTTAAGTGTTAAAAAAACTCAAATAGAAAAATAAAAAATATGTATATTCTTACAATTAAGTGTATTATCTTTTTGAGTTAAATATACAGAAGCAATAGCTATGTGTAAACTTGTTTAAGAGATGAACTACTTGAATGCTTGAGAAATGATGTAAAAATGTTGTTCCAAAGGGTTAATTTCTCACTTGGACCTTTAACATTCACCTCAACTATTAGTTCTACATTCATAACATCTAGTTGAAAGTATAATTGGGTATTCACTTTTTTGTATTTTTTTTAGTAGTGATTTACCCTCGATAATTTTATTAATCAACTCAATTCATGCAAGTACAAAATATAGGTACCTGCCCTTTAGGTATACAACTTATTATTTTACCCTTGTGTATGCATTTTACTCAATATGTTGAGGCTTGTTATTTCTACATGAGTTGACCCATTTCATAACTTTGTGACAATGAGCATTGAGTATCTCTCTATTGTGTAAGTTGACTCCCTTCTTTAGTCATTGATAGTGTTATGTATTGTTTATTTACAATGAATCCAATCACTCTCCAAATAATAACTAAGTCATCATAAGTGTTAAACTTTTTCTTATCAAGTGTGTCAACTTATTTCCTACAACAAAGATAAAAAAAACTAGAAAATAATAAATATAAATACAAGATTTTGAAATTAGATAAAATATGATATTATTGATATAAATCATCATATATGTCCTTGGAAGAAAATTGAGCAATGACTTAGTCAAATAGAGAGAGTGAAAGCATGTTAACAAGTATGGTCATGAGAGACAAGCTTCCATGATCTATTCGTAGTCAAGCACAACTAATGGAGTGATTCAACAACCAAAGTAGAAGAAATAATAGAATATTCTAACAAGATGAGGCCTCCATTGGTTGGAGGGGAATGAGATGAGAGAGAGAGAGAGAGAGAGAGAGAGAGAGAGAGAGAGAGAGAGAGAGAGAGAGAGAGAGAGAGAGAGAGAGAGAGAGAGAGGTTAGGTGTGGTGGCCACAATTGTGACCTACCTCTAATGGGTGCTTGTGCCAATGAAGGAGAGCAGATGATGGAGAAAAAATATGATTCATTTAATTTGAAAAAGGTAAATTTTTACACCTGCAAAATTATAAAAATATCTTATGATATGGTATTATTTAATTTATACATCCTCTCAACACTCCCCTCAAGTTGAGTGCAAATGCCAATTATATTCAATTTGCTCATGTTGGATTCAAAAGATACATATGATAATCTTTTGGCAAACATATTTGTCAATTGTTCCTCTTATTGTTTATATATAAGATATAACTCTTTTGAATTGGTAGTGTCTCAAATAAAATATTAGTCACTTGAAATATATTTGATCTTATCATAATATACAAGATTGTTGGTAATATTTATTATAATTCTATTTTCACATAATGATTTGAGTGATAATTCAATATGGAACTCAAGGTCATATATTAAAAAAATTAGTCACAATAACTCAATTTATCTTTGTGCCATCACATAATATTCAGCTTTGGCACTCAATCATGTCATGATTGTTTATTTTTTGTTTCACCACATGATGAGATTTCTTCCCAAGAAATTGTAGTAGCCTATATAAAACTTATGATCATCATAAGATATAGCCTAATTTACAGCAACAAAACTTTGAATACGTAAGTAGTTTGAAGTCCTAGAAAATAGACCCTTACTTGGGCAAGATTTTAGATATCATAGAATTTGATGGACAATCTACTTGTGAGTGGTACGAGGAATATGTATATATTTATTCACTACATTTACGATAAAAGATAAATCATGTCTAATTAGTGATAGGTACAAAAGCTTTATAATGATCTTTTAGTAAGTACGTTTGATTCTTTTGAGAGTTTCTATCTATATTAGTGAGATGTTGGTTTTGTTATATAAGTGTAGCATAAAATTTATAGTCTTATTTTCTTATTTCAATTAGTATCTTCATAATATATTTTATTTGACATATATATCTCTTTTTTTACATCTAGAAACTTCAATACTTAAGAAATATTTTGACTCTCTCAAATTTTTTATCTTAAATTATTTTTTAAAATTTTCTTGAGCATTTATATTTCATGTTCATCATGACCAGTGACAATCATATCATCAACATAAATAATAAAGATGGAATATTAATTATTAGTTATTTTGACAAAAAAATTGTGGTCAGTATTTCTTTATTGATAACCAAAACGAGTCATGGCTTGATAAAATCTACTAAATCATGCTATATGAGATTGTTTCAAATCATAAATTATTTGTTGAATCAACATGCTCTACCATTAATATTTACACCTTGAAGAAGACTTAAACATACGTATTCCTCTAAATCTCCATTTAAGAAGGTATGATCACAAGGGACAAGTTTTCACAATCTATTCACGTCATGTACAACTAATGGAGCAATTTAGCAGTCAAAAGAGAAGAGATCACATAATATACTAACAAGGCAAGGCCCCCCCTAGTTAGAGGGTAATGAGACAAGTTGTAACTTAGTCGAGTAGAGAGAGTGAAAGCATATTGAGGAGTGTGGTCATGTGATATGAGTTTCCACAATCTATTTGTAGTCAAGTACAACCAACGAAATGATTTAGTGACTAGAGGAGAAGAGGTCGCATAGTACCTACGAATCATCATATTTCTTAAAATATAGAAGGAGATATGATAAGTCTCACAATCAGTTTGAGATTTTATGAAATGTTAATAATAATTATAAAAATAAAATTTTTCAATAATTTTAAAACTCTTGACATAATTTGGTGATGTAAAATTGGTATCTTTCTTAAACATACATTTAGCCAACATTAAAAGCAAAAAGGTACCAAAAGCCAAAAAATCAATTCTTAAGTATTGATCCCCACCTTAGAGAAAATTATTATGAATCTCATTCTATAAATAGAGATGCTCCCTCTTAGACTTGCTCAGAATCGTATTATATACCTAAAGTCATTATATTTTCTTAGAAAAGTTTTCTAAAAGAACTATTCCACTTAAAATGGGGGTAGAATTGTGATGGTCTAATAATGTCTCCATATAGATTTTTAGACTTGGAACTTGGAGGAACCAATTTTTCTCCTTATAATGAGTGTTATTTTTCAAGAGGTTCAAAGATTCTTCAACATTCATAACCTTCTTTCCATGCATCCTCTTCTATTGACATACTTCAGTTTAAGTACTTCCACTATGGAAATTATCTTTGAAAATATAAAGTCAATGATTATGAAACTAATGGTCAACCTTCTCCACCTTGCCTTAACTTAGCATAGAATTTTTGTATCATACACCAACCATTGTGTTTTAAGCAAAAAAATTAAAATGGCATGCTTTTATTGTTAAAAGTTATCCAATTTGCTTCAATAAAATCATAGTTGGTAGTAGAATAAATAATTAAAAAAGTATGATTAAAAATAGAATACATAACAGCTTAATTACTAATATTAAATGGCACACTTCCTAGTTTATTGTTCATTGAGTGGGATTTTTTTTTAGATTTGAAAAGTCTTCCCAAATAGTAAAAGGATGAGGATATATGACTATGTCCGACATATTCTTTCCTAGTAACTCTCATCCTAACTCATTGCCAAGAAAAATTATTTTCAAGTATAAGAGGATTAGATAGATTTCCTAAACTACTACACTAGCAACAAGCTAGTTAGATTTGTGTGTAAGTCTCACTAAGATATTGTTTCCAAAAACTTAATGAGTCTTGTTCCAAACCTTTTATCTTCTTTAAATGAATAAAAAGAAATAATAGATAGATTTTTTTTTAGCCAACAACCAAATAACATAAATATTTTGTTAGCATCTGGATCCTAGTCCATTTGACACAATAACATAGTAAGTTCACTAATGGAGAAGCTCCACTTCACCTAAAATGAGAATAAATTACAGATTAAAAAGGCAAAATAAAGGATTTAAGCTTGTGACAGATTTTCTTTGCATGAATTTTTATTGAGGAAAATGCTTACAATCTTAAAATTATAGGGACAATAAATGACTTCATTCATGCCTAGATTTCTATTTTTAAAGACAATCTTAATCGATATCTTTAATAATATCTTATGCATTCAAGGAGGATGGAGAGAGAGAGAGAGAGAGAGAGAGAGAGAGAGAGATAGTACAAGTAGCGGCGAACTTTATGCGTCTAGAATTATCCAGCCGCATGGTAACTCCATCCAGAGACGGAAGAATGAGCCCCAATTTTGCATACGATTTGAAGGAAATAAATATAGAGGGGCAACTAGTGACTCCATCAACGCCTAGATTTCTATGTTTAAAGCCAATCTTAATCGATATCTACGAGAAGAACTAATGCATTCAAGGAGGATGGAGAGAGAGAGAGAGTACCGGCAGCAGCGAAATTCTGTAGATCTAGCATTATCCAGCCGCATGGTAACTCCATCCAGAGACGGAAGAATGATCCCCAATTCTCCATAAGCTCTTCAGGAAATGCCGCGAGAAAGAGTCCGCAAGACGAGGATGGCAATGATCTCTCTCTCTCTCTCTCTCTCTCTCTCATCCGCCGCATTTTTGGGCGCGAGAATTTCCCGCCTTTCGAGGCCGGCCGTAATGGGCCGTGTTTTAAATGGCCGTGTGATTCGCAACGGCAACCTTTTTTTTTTTATTGCCCTGACAGACTTCGGTCGGATGAGGGACGTGCGCGCTGCTGCGTACCGATGGGTAAGGCGATGGCCTCACATGCCAGTCGGCGCCGTCAAGATCGCGCAGCCGCAAAAAGAGTGAGGAGACCTAAACCAAACTCATCCGTTTGGGTTCGTACATTGGCTACGTCTGACCAGTCAGTGGAATGCTGGTCTCCGGGGGCCCACTGACCCAAGGACCGATAAAGATGTTAATGGGCTGTGATATGGCCCGTTAAAGTCGAGTCAGTAGAGGGTACTCCCGTGTAGTGTGGGTCCCGCGCCCACCGAAAGGCCAATCATATCAGGACATACACATAATATATTAATAAAAATGGGTTTTTATGTAAATATCCAAACTCATTTATATTTAATATTTTTACAAAAGCATCGGAAAAATCGACCTGCTTTTTTTCCGCATTGACCTTTTTTTTAACTCCTGCCAGTTGGACTTTTGAGACTTTAAGAAAAGACGAGAAGAGTTGGGCCCACGGAGACGGGGCCCACGGGTTGGGACCGCTACGACCGTTGTGGGGGCAGTTTGGAAGGACACTGGTATCCGGTGGGGACCACTGAACCGTTGTAGGGGTAATTTGGGGTATCCTTCAGCGAGAAAACCGATGAACGTGGCCCGTGTCTGACCTCCACGTGGCAGAATAACCAAGTATTTTGCCCTTTTTAGCGCAATTAGGCGGCCACTTTTCCTGGACTCTCTTCTCGACGCGTGGCATTTTTCGCCTCTTTGGTGCTAATTAGATGCCGTCTCGACACGTGGAGAGGCTCCACTACTGGCCACCCGGTCGTCTTCTCCTCACGCCTGCTTTAAAGACGAAAGGTGAAAATGCTGCCGTCTGCATGGTTTCACTCTCTCTCTCTCTCCAGCTCCCCATTCTTTCCCACCTCGGGGAGGTGATTTGATGAGATCGTACGCTGCTCCACAGATCCACCTCTCTCTCTCTCTCTCTCTCTCTCTCTCTAGCCTATGGCCCCCACTATGAGCAGGAAGGGCGGTGAGAAGGAACCTAGTGAAATTCTTTTGCCTGGATTGTTGTTGATTTTGACAGGCACAGAACTGCCATGGTCGGCGGGTAAGAGGGTGGCCTGGCCTTGCCATGGTCCCCCACCGCTCCACATGGAGACCTTCCTCTCCTCCATTCCCTCCTTGCCGTCTTCCTCTGCTATCCAACGGCTTTCTTCCCCACTCTTCTCGTCTCCTGTCGATGCAGATGGCTGTTCAATCTGCCGCCCATACAAAATTCCCCGTCTAACATTCGAACCTCATCTTCTCCGCAGATCTGCGTTTCCTTCCTTGTCGCCGCCTATTCGAGGAAATCAGTCTGTCGCTGTGAACTTTCCTTCTTCTTCTTCTTCCATGAGATTCCCCCCCTTTTGATCCTCTTTTCCGATATCTGCGGCAGGTTTGAGGTTGTGGAGTTCTCGTGAGGAAGAATCTCAATGTGGTATGATGTTGACGATGCCGCGGATGGATTCGCGGAAGAATGAGACCCAGTTTACTCGGAGGTCGCCGTTATCCCCTTCGACGAAGAACAGCGCCCCCACCGCGGCAAGAAAGCCCCCGCCGACTAGGGTTTCCTCCATAGCCTTGGCTTCTCCTCCTCCCTCTGCGCCAGTCGCATTGCGACGATGTTCATCACCCAATTGCAGAGCGGCTCTCTCCCAGAAGCCATCTCTGCCGAAGCGCTCACAGTCTACGGAGAGGAGACGGCCAACGACGCCCTCGTCTCAGACCTCGTCGCCTGCCTCTTCCTCGAGATTATCTTCGGGATCTTCTACCCCAGTAGAGGACGCCATGGCGGGAGTTCACCTCTCTTCCAGGAATCTGGGAACCGGTCGAACGCCAGATGGTCCGTGGCCCGCCATGAGGAGCCTTTCTGGGTCCTTTCAGCTTGAATGTGTTTCAGCGGAGAAGCCAGTCTCAGGTTCCAATGCCGGTCGAGCTTACAGTCTGAAGGCTTCGTCCGACGCGACAACAGAGAGAAAGAGGGCTCCTTCGAAAGGGAAGAATTCCTCTGATGGGTCGGAGAATTATAGGCCCGTGGAGAATTCCCATCCTAGAATGAAGGAACAGCATCAATGGCCCGGCATAGTCAACGGGAGATTTTCCGCCAGAGCCTCGTCAAGACGCGTGGATCTCACTGTGCCGGCCTCATCGCGAGGTGTTTCACCAGCAAGGAGACCCAGTACCCCTGAGACACCGAGAAAAGAGCTTCAAGTGGCCATTAATGGAGGGGCAAGAAGGCGAACGTCCTTGGATGGAAGCGGGAAACTGGGGCGCGAAATCCTCAGAAATGCTCAGAGTCTTTGTGAGAGAACCCCCTCGCTGACCCGTCTAACTCGAGCTTGCTCACTCCCTCGACCTGGGTCGCCTCATCCTCCCTCACCAAGGAAGGCTCCCCTGCCATCGACCACTTCTAGTAGGAGCTTCTCCAGTCCATGTCCGATGAGGCCATCAAGCCCTCTTCCACTGAGCAACACTTCTGTTATGAGTCGCAGTCTTGATGGCTCTAGAGGAAGGAAGAGCTCCAGCCGCATAGATGATGAGTTTAAGCTGAGAATGCTCTATAACAGATATCTGCAGTGGCATTTCGTCAACACCCACGCAGATGCTGCGATGCTTGTCCAGAAAATCACAGCAGAGGTTGGTGTCCATGTGTTATTATTCATTGTAAATCATATCCGCACAAACGTTGACTTTTTCTTTCTGTTTCCAGTTGACTCATATAAACCCATTCAGGTATCCTTAACAGCGATTTTTTGACAAAATAGCTTATTATTATTTGCAGGAAGCAGTCAAATGGGTCTTCTATTTACTTTACTTATATGAGCTTTTAGGGTGTCTTTATGTGCATGATAAATTTGACTTTTTAAAATGGAACTCGTTGAATAATGTGCACTTGTTCCTGCACAACCGATGACTTTTTCTTTCTGTTTTCCAGTTGACTCATGTAAACCCATTCAGGTATCCTTTATAGCGTTTTTTTGACCGAAATACTGTATTATTATTTTCTTAGCGTCAAATGGGTTTTCTTTTGACTTATATGGGCTTTTAGGGTGTCTTCATATGTATGATAAAGTTGACTTTTTTAACATGGAACTCGTTGAATGATGTGCACTTGTTGCCGCTCAAACAGAGCATTCTGTACAGCGTGTGGGTGGCTACTTCAGGAATGCGTGATTCCATTCTTATGAAAAGGATTAATGTGCAGCGGCTGAGGATAGAGCTAGCGTTGGGATCCATTTTGGACCATCAGGTGAGCCTTATAGCGTTATACCATCCAGGTAGTAATATGTTTTAAGAATATATTTACAGATAATGTCAATAGGATGAGATGATTGATTTCTGATGGCCAGGGGGCATGGAAAAAGTGTCGTTGAAGAAAAATTAAAGAAAATCAAGGGCTATGATAATAATGCAACATTAATATTGGGAGTAAATTATTAATTTGGCAGATTACCACGGATCAAGCTAGTTGGGGAATACCAAAAGAGGCAACGAATTGGTTCTAAAATTGGGAAATTTTGATGAAGTTCTCTTAATTATGCATAGAATGGACGGCCCAAGTTATCTATCCACTTTTTTTTTTTTTAACCAGATGTAACCATAGGTTATGTATATATATATATATATATATATATATATATAGATAGAGAGAGAGAGAGAGAGAGAGAGAGAGATGAGACAGTGTTGACCCGTTCTTCCGAATATTTTCTCTATTTCTGGCAATTCCATTAATTTAAACAATTCCATCTTTTAAAACGGCTTCTCTGGGCTTTTTTTATTTAGAATTTTTTTATCAGGTCGATGAAAAATGTGTTTAATCCGAATATTTACGTCGTTTAAATTTCTTATTTAGATGCCACGTCTTGAAGACTGGGAATCATTGGAGAGGGAACATTCTTGCTCCTTGTCAGGAGCAGCAGATGCCTTGAGAGTGACCATGCTCGGCCTCCCAGTTGTCGGCGGAGCTAAGGTGGGTATAGCTCCAGATATGCAATCATTTCAACCATGTCCAGCATATAGACCATCAAGTTCTTCGAGGCACGACCCATGACTTTTTTACATGATCTTTACCTCCAAAGGCAGATCTGGGTGCCCTAAAAGGCGCCATCTCCTCTGCTCTTGATGTTATCCAGACCATGAGTTCATCAGTTTATCATTTACTATCCAGGGTGAGATACATGATTCTGATTCAAAGTTTCCCTTTTTTTTTTCTTCGCACTTTTTTTTTTCTTCTTCCTAATTAGATGATTTTGGATCCATAAATGCATATAAATACAGTTGGAAGGAGTGAATTCTGTGGTGTCTGAGTTGACTGAGTTGGCGACCGAGGAGAGGGCCATGCTTGATGAATGTATGGCACTGCTGGCTTCAACAGCGGCTCTGCAGGTAATTCCAGAGCAGCCCTCTGTTCTTGAGCTCGAGCAGTGAGAATCGAATCTGTATTTTATCGCTTAATTCATCTGGGTTCGAAGATCTTAGACATATGAATTCGATTTGGTCTTAAAGATCTCATCTTTCATCATCATTGCCCATGTTTATGACATTCATACTGATGATGCAGGTTCAAGAGTGCAGCCTCTTCCGTTTTTAAATGGGATTTGGCCTAAGAAACCTCAGATGTTAACTATGGACTCTCTCTATGCAGGTTCAAGAATGCAGCCTCAGAGCGCATCTCTTACAGCTGAGGCGGGATAGATGAGCCGCATGATCCCTCAGCGCTGACCATGTACAGAGGGCGAGGATAGCAAAACCCATGACTCTGATAGAAGACGAGTTGACCCAGGGCGACAGGAGATTGCCCACCAAGGGGTTGACCCCAAGTTGCTCACTTTTGAGAGCCGGTCACCAAATGAGATCCCAAATTACTCATTTGGTTCCTCGGTTCAAGCTCTGGGTATGTACATAAGTGGAAACCCTGCATCTGGGTGCCTGTTTAGGGTTCTTCCCTTTCTGTATACGGCGAGGAAGAGCGGGGGGGGGGAGCGAGTGAGTGGGTGGGCACGGAAGAGTTGTAGGAGTTGACTCCAATTTATTTATTATGATTGTAACTTTGTTTTCTCAATCATTTTCTTATTTGGGTAGTTCGATTTTCTTAGGAGATCTGCCGGGTAGGAGACGTCCTCGTGGAATGAAGGAGGGGGAGAGGGGAGGGGGAGGGAGTGGAGGAGACACACGATGCAGGGGAGGTCTACCCCCCAATCCCACGTCACGTCTGCCGTCTATGGATGAGACGAAAACGAGAGAGACAACAGAACGACAAAAGAACAGCGGGAATGGCCCGGATATCCAGAAGTGAAGATCAGGCGACCACTCTAGGAAAAACCAGACAAAATTAGACTCTCTCTCTCTCTCTCTCTCTCTCTCGCGATATATATATATATATATGCTTCTCTCTCCCTCTCTCTCTCCCCTTCCCTCAATGTATATACTTCTCTCTCTACTTCTCTTTCTCTCTCTCTCTCTCTCTCTCTCTCTCTCTCTCTCGCAGACTGTCTGACTCGGTCGCTCTCCATCTGCCCACAAATGGGGTCTTTCTCAGTGGAGTTCTGGAGGGGGAGAATGGGGAGTATTTTTTCATCTTCTGTAGGTTTCTCTCCGTCGTTCGCTCGCTCCAGAAAACCCTAGCAGACCTCTTCCTCCCCTCTCGCCCTCCCTGTGTGTGCATCGTCGTCCTCGATTGCTTGTTTGTTACCTTCTCGGAGACGGGCTTCGAACAGTAACCCCGGTCGGTGGCGGCGCCGCCTGTGTCTTCTTTCCTCTCCGACTTGGACAATGGCACTGAAGGCCCCCGCAAGAAGAAGCGCAAAGAGAAGGGCGACGATGAACTCGCTCTCTCCCTCTCCCCGCCCTGCCGGAAAGCAACGACTCAAGAGAGAAACTCCCTCGTTGTGACACCCCCTCCTCGTCCTCGCCACCGCCGTCATCTTCAGATCCCACGATTCACAACCAGAATCCCCCATCCCAGGAGACCCGAACTCTAACCCTAACCGTTCCCCCTGCGCCGCCGTCTGCCATCTTTTTTCCCTGCACCTCCACCGATCCCTCCTCACCACCACCATCACATCTACACTCCCCCGATCGGAGCTCTTCCGCCATCTCAGCTCCCCCCACCGGGCCGCCCCCCGAGCCAGGAAGAACCCTACCAGGGCCTACCCAAGGGAAAGGACGAGACCATCGAGCCGCCCTTCCCATGGGCCACCGAGCACCATGCGGTGGTCCACCGGAAAGATTACCTCGTGTCCTTGGGTATCCGCGCCATCGCCGGAGAGGTCAAGTGCAGGCGGTGGGAACAAAGATTCTTCATGGCGCACGACCTGGCTGAGAAGTACCAGGAGGTGACTAACCTCATTAAACACGAAAAGCCCCAGATGCATGATAGAGCGAGGATGAAGTGGTCGCCCGCGACCTTCCTAAAGTGCCCCGGCTGCTGCCATGAGAACTGCCTCAAACCGGTGATCGCCTCGAAGAAGCGTGCCATCAACTGCCTCTTCCTCATCGGGGGCACGCTGGGGTGCTGCACCATCGAGCAACTCAAGTGCTTCGGCAAGCATACCGGGAACCACCGCAACGGGGCCAAGGACAGGATCGTCTATCTCGTCTACCTCGGCAACTGTAAGCAGCTCGAGCCCGAGGTTCTGTTCGAGTTCGACAGCTAGGTCGATTTGCATACCTCGCCCCCGTCACAATGCTCCTCCTCCACTGATCCATATACGCTCGGTGTTTTTCAAGCTTTTCTTCCCCATCGTCCCTCGGTGCTTTTTTTGGTGTCATTCGTCTATTCTATGAATGTAGTCTCCAGAGAGAGTTATAACGAGTGGCGAGTGGAGGGGAGAGAGAGAGAGAGAGCAGCTCATAAACCCTTCTCACTATCCTTCCCGTCCACTCACTTGTACTCATCCCTACGCCCAATCCAATCATATCCTCCTATGTGCATTCACCGGCATCTCCCCAAGTTAACGACTGCCGTCTTGCATTGTCGTCTCCGGAGAGAGTTACAACGAGTGGAGAGTGAAGAGAGAGAGAGAGAGTAGCTCATAAACCTCGCCACCTTCGCAATACTTCCCAGGCAGCTCATATCCTCCCATGTCCATTCGCCAGCATCTCCCCAAGTCAACGACTGCCTTCCTGCATTGTAGTCTCCAGAGAGAGTTACAATGAATGGAGAGTAAAGAGAGAGAAAGAGACAGAGAGCAGCTCATAAACCTCGCCCCCGCCGGAATATTCCTGAGGCAGCTCATATCCTCCAATGTCCATTCACCAGCATCTCCCCAAGTCAACGACTGCCTTCATGCATTGTTGTCTGCATGGCACACGCGCTCGTTGGTGCGCATCCATGCAAATAGCACGCGCACGTTTGCGTCCTTACACATCACGTGACTGTCTGCCGGAGCTGATTATCGAATGATCCGAGTTGACCTCAGTTTCTCGTGTCTCGTCCTGCAACAAAAAGGAAAAGACACCGCTTTCATACTCTTTAAGAGAGAGATGCTCTAAACGTTGTCTTGCAGAGTATTTCAATTTTTTTTCTTCTCTGAGGTGAAGCATGAGCTCGTTGGATGGAAGAACTGATTTGATCAACAAAGTTTTCCAAACATGCACCATCTTATCAATAAGTCAACCGGTTCTCTTAAAGTCAAACTTGTTTTGGTATTATTAACGACGTTTTGTGTCACGTTTTGGCTGGTTTGAGTGTCACGTTTTGTGTTAGATCCTCCATCGTTTAGATACCGGAATCATTGGGCCTATCCGGAGAGTTCTAATCGCCAGACTACTAACAGTTAATCGCATAAGAGGAAGATAAAAAGCCTCATCAACCTCCTGGAATGGCGGAGGGGGCGACGTTGCCTTTCCCGGAGAGTAGCATAACCAAGGGAGGGAGGGAGAGAGAGAGAGAGAGAGAGATAGGTAGATAGATAGAGAGAGAGAGAGAGATAGATAGAGAGAGAGAGAGAGATAGGTAGATAGAGAGAGAGAGAGAGATAGATAGATAGATAGATAGAGAGAGAGAGAGAGATAGGTAGATAGATAGATAGAGAGAGAGAGAGAGAGATAGGTAGATAGATAGATAGAGAGAGAGAGAGAGAGGTAGATAGATAGAGAGAGAGAGAGAGAGAGAGGTAGATAGATAGAGAGAGAGAGAGAGAGACAAGGAGAGAGGGAGTGAGGGAGGGAGAGAGAACACTATGTCCATCCATACCTAGGGCGACGCACTATCTAACTTACTTAAGGATGCAGTCGTATATTCCCCAGCAAGTCTTATTTCCGAGAAATGTAAGGGCTCGTTCTAATCGACATGTTGTTTGAGACATGGATGACACAATCTTGCCGTTCAAAGGTTATAAACTGGAGTATATGGCACTGCAGTGACGTCCCTTAAGGGTGGATCTACATTTCGGAGTCTCGGACTACTTCCTAATCCGCCTCTAGTTGTCGGTAATTCAGCTCAAGGCCGGCCGTCACAGCGGAGGCGACACAGAAGTAGTACACAGACCACGGCGGTGTTGCAGACCATGGAGGTGGCAGAACATCCTGCGGGACAGAAATCAGGTGGTTCCAGTCGCTGGGCATAGCTCTGAAACGGAGGAGAGTCTTCACTGGGAGGTGGAGCAGGACGAGCTCCTAGACGATGTCAACGCCGTGTAGAACATCTCCTCCGTGGGGGAGAGATTATGATCTGCAGGTTTCACTTCTCACGACGGAGGATGAAGAGCTGGGCGGTTGTTTGTCTGAGTCAACCCGACACGGGAAGTTCTTGATCACCTTAAGCAAACAAGAATCAGATCTGGAGTTGTTGAAGCTCCTAGAGAGGACTCCGTTGACTTATGTGGATTTGATTGGTCGAGACCAGAAGGAACGATAAGATCAGAAGGTCAAGATCAGCCCTGTCTTTTCGTTTTCCATTCAATTTGCGAAAGAGTATTAGAATCTGTTTTCACAGTTGATGAGAGATTTTTCTTTGTATATCATCCAGTTCGATTTAAATCATTCATTTCTTGAAGAAGGTGTGTCATTAAATTGGCAGAATATGTACTAATACAGATTTTTCAGAAAGCCTGGCTCGGCCCAACATGATACTTCCTTATCTCTCTCTCTCTCTCTCTCTCTCTCTCTCTCTCTCTCTCTCTCTCTCTCTCTCTCCAGTTGTTTCAGGGCTCAGCCTAGCATGACACTAAACAGCAGGCAATTACAGAAGCAAATGCTTGATACAACAACATTACATCCCGATTTATTGCGAAGAAAAAAAAAATAAGTAAGATCATGGAAGTAAATATTACCGCATTTATTGCTACTGCAGTATTCATTCTAGCTCCTATTTTACTTAACTAAATAAAACCAGTGAGCCAAAATGATAAAGTCAACTGATTCTTTGGTTTCTTTTCTTGTCAATGATTGAAGAAAAGAAAGGTATTCAAACTCCAAGTCTCGGATGGAATGGTAGAAAGAAGTCAACTACTTATTGGGCCCTCTGGCTTCTTGGGACAAAATCTCCCTCCATTTCTATTTTCTATGCCCAGAGCTTAGAAAAGCAGACCCAATACACCCTTTATGCATCGGCCATCTCAATTCCTGGCAAATTAAATTGCTCTTGGTGTTCTCTGCATGAACTTCATCTCTGCAAACGGTGGAAGAACACGCCAATTCTTATGGGGCTGTACACAGAGCCTGCCTACCTCAATCTCCAGTCAAATTACAAAAAAAAAAAAACCAGCGGCAATGTCGGCAGATCGATCGGCTATACGTTGGCTGAAACCTCCTCTGTGGCTGTGGCTGTGGCTTCCTTCTTCTTCGGGGGTTCCTGGACCTTCTTGAGCACCAGCTTGTTGGGAACCAGGACCATGAACACGTTCCTGTCGCTGAAATTATTGCTCTCCTCTGTTCCGAGCTGGTAAATGCACAGAGGGGGAGAAACCACTCAGAACGGCAGATTTATTGGGTCAAACACACAGATGTCTCCGATTTTTCAGCTAAAATGACTGAGAAAAGCTAAAAATATATCCCGAGGGGAAGAAATTATTGAGAACGGCAGATTTTGTTGGTCAAACCCACATAATTTCTGCCCGTATATGGTTTTTGATTGTTTTTCAGTCAAACATCTAGGAAAATAAGTAATTTGTCCATGCCCAAGCTGCGAAAATGTGAGGGGAATATATCATTGAGAACGGCATATTTATTGGTCAAATCCACAGAATTTCGGCACGTTTATAGTTTTTGGTTGTTTTTCAGTCAAACATCAAGGAAAATAAGTAATTTATCCATGCCAAGATGCGAATATGTGAGGGGAAGAAATTATTTAGAACACCAGGATTAAAAAGTAAAACCCATATATTTTAGCCGGCGTCTGCTTAATAGAGAGGATGGTCCGGACAAAAGTTTAATAATTTCCCTCAAAGATATGAGAAAATGAGTAACCTATCGGTGCACCAAGTTATGAATTCGCAAAGGGAAGAGATTATTGAGAAAAGGAGGTTGATAATCAAACCCACATCTCAGATTGCAAAAATGCTCAATAGAGATGATCACCCAAAAAAAATTAATTATTTTTCAGTCAAATATCTGGGAAAAAAGAGAACAATGACCTCGTGAGAAACAGTGAAACTGGGCCATTATTAACACATCAAATCGGATGTATCCCTCTTTCTTAAGGTGACGCGTTAGAAACAATGAATTATCAGTTCATAAGATTCCGAAAAAGCAGAAAAATACAAGAATAATTGATTTATCTTTTAAGGATGAAGGTGATGGAAGGCCAATACCTCCCCAACATCTTCCTGAAAGCGCTTGAGGAGATCAATAGCCATGTCCCTGAAATCATTCTCACGCTTCTTCAGGTTTACCATGACCTTAACCTGCAGAGAATTGAAAGGGCCCAAGTCTCAGCAGCTATCTAAGAAAAGATACAGAAGAAAAAATATCTGAAGGATATAACAGCCACCTTATCTCCATCTTTGAGAAATCTCTGTGCAGCTTTCAACCTCACAGTATAGTCATGAGAATCGATGTTATACCTGCCACAAACAGAAACAACGGTAAGACAGACATTACCGACATACGGAGAGATAAAGGGCTTCAACAAATCCATAACATACAATGCATAAAATGCTGCAGATTACTATAGTTTTATGCACCTGGTCTAGAAACAGGCAAGAAATGCCCATTCAACGCTGTAAAGAAAACCCTGATTGAAAAATCAATTTGCATTAAGATTATTGAGGAATTTTTTCTTGACAAGCAAAAAAGGAAGACCAGCATCGCTCTTGTCGTTGTCACATGATATATATTGATGATTCATACTCGGGATGATCAAACTTTATTACATTCTTTGGATACTCAAAAGTTTTCCCAAAGGACAAGTATTATTTTGTAAGTTTTTTTTCGCACTAAATACGAGATAAACCCAGTTTAAATTCATCTCATATAATGTCTTCCAATTCTGTATTAATATATATTTCGTATGAGTACCAGCAAGACATCCTTCCGAAAAAAATTTGTAGATGCACTGCAAAGAAGGGTTGCGAAAAAATCACAGGATGTAAATAAAACCGGAGAAAATCAAGCAAAATAACAAACCATGGAGAAAAAGAAATGATAGAGATTATGGTCGAAGTAGAGACGGTGATCAGTTCAACATGACATTTTGACCGAAAAAACTGAATAGAACTTGGACAGTGATCAGCAAGACTGACCCCATTTTTATTTCCTTGATATCCATACGACTTGCTGCACAACAAAGAAAACGTTCAAGTTTTCAGCAATCTGATGCTCAAGATTTCGAATTGAGCCATAGAAAAGGTACTAATTTAGAAATTTTCAAGGAGAAGACATTCACCAGCAGATTTCTTCTGCTGATCTTTTTTCTTTTTCTGCTGTTCATACCTGTACTTGCTGTATGAAAAAAAATAAATCACTGATTATAGATCAGCATTGAAAATTTAAAAGAAAAAAGCACCAAAAGTACTCGTACATAAGACATGATTTTTTCTCCAAAAAAATCATAAGCTGAGACATTTTAAAGGTTCATAATAATATAAATATACTTCTTTTTAAGGTGAGCAAGGAGGATATGTTTCGGATAAATGCAAACTTATGTTTCATGAAAGAGGGAAAGCATGGGAGAAACGGAAATGAGAATAAACACAGCAGAAGAGGCAGGGAATGTGAAGGAGAAAAGGGAACGGTTTGAAATGGGAAGGAAAGAGATGGAGATAGGAGTCAAGAGGGCTTCGTTGACGAAAGATATAAAAGGAAAAATCACTAGCAGAGGATAGACTGGAGGCTTCACTAGTGATGTGAGAAGAGCAAGAGAGGAGGGTCTCCGTTCATGTTATTGGTTGGTTTTTCATTTCTCCAGATTCTGATATCTGTGAAACAAAAGAAATGTGTGAAAAAGTGAGCAAGACCCACTGGTAATGATGCCAGTGTGCTTGTTCCTGCCAATTCATGGAACAATCAAAGATGATGAGAAATAAGGAAGAGAGGGAGGAGAGGGACAAGAGGAGGGAGGAACCACAAAGATGAGTAAGGAGGAGACAATAGAGACACTAAACAAGGCCACCAGGCACTCAAAGACAATAGAACACCGACAGAATCAAAGAACATTATTGCATCATCAACATGTTTATGAACTCGAGCTTATCACCAACATGATTGAGTATGATTGTATAAGCAATGTGATTGAATGTAAAAAGTCATTTACTCACAGCACAAAGACCAGTAATAAAGTTAAATGGGCATAAAGGGAAGTGCCAGCGCGAGCTAAATCATAAAATGGAGAGGATTGACTAGTACTTGTAATCAACTATCCTCAAGACAGGTGGATCTGCATCTGCAGACAATATCACCTGCAAAATAAATTTAATACACATTGAGGACTTTCAGTAAATCCAGGACTTTCAGAATTCTGGAGTGAAGTCTCCGTTAGAGAAAATTACTACAGACATTAACCTCAACGAAAAAAAATAGAAAAAATGAGGCATTTATCCATAATGCAAGATAACATTAGAAAAATCTATACCAGATCAAGCTCTGCATCTTCGGCCCTCTGTATAGCTTCATCAAGTGGAACTACCCCGATCTGTTGAGAGGAAGAGAAAGGCTCAGAAACAGTTTCGAACATACCATGATCTACGAGAGTATTTTCCAAAGAAACACAAACCATGTTCTGCTGATCATCAATTAGGCGTACAGAGCTTGACCTATTTTAAACGAAAATAAATTATTGAAATCAGTCAAAGAAAAGTAGCGAAAAGCCAAATCTTTCTGAAAAGAAAAAACTAGAAAAAAAATCATGTGAATAAATTCCCGATTATCAGTCAAAATAAGAATGAGAAATCTTATTACAGCATCTCAGAAAAATTTCGGGGACAACTGAAAGAAGTAAAATATTTCATGGTTTGGCATGAAAGCAAAAAAAATATCAGTCATATCGACCTCTGAGCACACTTTGAGTATCCTTTTAAGGTCAAACATATAGACTTCTGCTATGGACAAGAAACTCTTTTTTCCCTGAATAAATTAGTCAAAACTCTTCTGCGTTGTTTTCAGCCAAGATTCCGGACCCGCTGGATAGCATTTGGCTCTCCTTTTGAAACATAACTACAGCCAAGAATAGAAATCCACCTCTTCCTTAGACCTGAGTTTAAATCACTTGCATACGACTCACGAGTGTGGTAAAAGAATGCAACCCGTTATGAAGAATAAAGTGAAGGCCTACCAAAATCCCTCCTTTTCCAGTATCCACACCTTCCCCAGTTATTGCTATTATCTCCCACTTCCAACCCTTCCGACCCGAAATCAGAAGATAATCTTTTCATCGACAATGCCCCACGAATTTCTCACAACCAATTCTAAAAACCTCTTGCTCTCTTATAATCTACAATTACGTGCTATTATTATGTCTCTGCGTTCGTCTATCTCTGCCATGACCCTTTCACACCTCTCATCCGTAAGAACCCAAGAACAGCCCAATGCATGGCCAACTTCGTAACAGGAAGATTCTCCTCGCATAGTTTCTCTTTCAGGAAGGGAAAAAAAAGGATTTTTTCCAATAGTAAGAAACTAGAAATGATGCAATTTAGCCATAATTCCGCCGCAAAGACCAGAGATATCAGCGGCACGTACGTTAATCTGCTAAAATCCAGGGCCTCATCGTCGGCATCGGAGGGAGGAGGGCGACCTCCCGGTGGCCTCCTCGACCCACCCCTCCCGGGGCTTGGCCGATATCCGCCGCCGCCGCGGCCAAACCTCGCCACCGGAGCAACGCCGACGGAGACCACCCGGCTTCTTCCGACTGGTCTCCTGGTGAAAATATGAAGGGAGAGAGAGCACGGAGATGGAGAAGAACCCAAATTCCTGCTAAGGTTTCGAGCTGCGACTGGGGAAGAGGCCGATTGTCGCAGCTGGATGCCGGCCATCGCCGTTATCTTCCTCCTCCTGCTCCCGCCGCTGCCGCTGGCGGAGGAACCTACTTCCCCACTGAAAACTACAACGAGACCTTATCCGAAATAGCTAATTGGGCCATTTATTGGGCCCATGATAAGGACCCCGAAATACTAATGGGCTGGAACAAACAGTTCCCGTTACATCATCGATCATGGACCCAAATGTCTTATTGGGCCTTCTCCCCCCAATGCTTGAAGTCACACCGGGATCCATCTTCTCAAGGCCCAGCCGAGAAAAAAATACATGCACATGTAGAAATAAATTAAATTAAATAAACATTAGTATGCTATTTATTTCGTACTAATTCATTAGTATTAGCAATTACAGATGACACGTGGCAGGAAGCGTAAAGTCAACCGTTTCAAAGGGTGTTCAGTCAATTTCCTCTATTTTGGGCCCGGGGGCGGAGGGTTCCCTGGCCCAAAACATCGGTGTTGGCCCAATGGGCCAACATGTCCTTAAAAGCCCATCCGAGAAAACATGTACACGTGAAAATCAAACAATTTAAATAAAGATGATTATACCATATTATCATCAATTTTTCGTATTTATTGCGTTCAGTGGCAAGTAGCATCGAGACCAAAAAGTCATTACATGTGAAAAAAAGTAAAAATTATTATGCTACATTGTCAAACAGTAAAACAGCTGACACGTGGCAGACTGACACTACGACCAAAAAGTCAACAGTTTTAAAACTAGACAGAAGGTAGAGAGCGTCATCAGAGAAACCAGATGCAAAAACTCAGCTTTTTTAGTCAACTTCCTCGATCTTGGGCCCGGCGCCGCCGCCGCCGCCGTCGGAGGGTTCCCCGGCCGAAGCAGCGCCGCCGCCGCCCGCGCTGGCGGCGCCGCCCTGCTGGTACATGCGGGCGATGATGGGATTACAGACCTCCTCCAGCTCCTTGAGCTTGTGCTCGAACTCCTCCACCTCGGCCAGCTGGTTGCTGTCCAGCCACTTCATGGTCTCCTCCACCTCTTTCTCGATCTTCTCCCTCTCCGTCTCCGGCATCTTCTCCCTCATCTTCTCGTCCCTCACGGTGTTCCTCATGTTGTAGGCGTAGTTCTCCAGAGAGTTCTTCGCCTCCACCTTCTTCTTCACCTCCTCGTCCTCCGCCCTGTACTTCTCCGCCTCCTTTACCATCTTCTCGATCTCGTCCTTGCTCAGCCTCCCCTTATCGTTGATGATGGTGATCCGGTTCTTCACCCCCGCGGTCTTGTCCTCCGCCGTCACGTTCAGAATCCCGTTGGCGTCGATGTCGAAGCAGACGTTGACCTGGGGCACCCCTCTCGGCGCCGGCGGGATTCCGGTGAGCTCGAACTTGCCCAGAAGATTGTTGTCCTTGGTTCGAGCCCTCTCTCCTTCATATACCTGGATCAGAACTCCCGGCTGGTTATCAGAGTAGGTGGAGAAGATCTGCTCCTTTTTTGTGGGAATGGTGGTGTTGCGGGAGATCAGCACTGTCATGACTCCACCGGCGGTCTCCAACCCGAGGCTCAGCGGCGTAACGTCGAGGAGGAGGAGGTCCTGCACCTTCTGGTCACCTTCTCCGGTGAGAATCGCCGCCTGCACGGCGGCGCCGTATGCCACCGCCTCGTCGGGGTTGATGCTCTTACAGAGCTCCTTCCCGTTGAAGAAGTCTTGGAGCAGCTGCTGCACCTTGGGGATGCGCGTTGACCCACCGACGAGCACCACCTCATCGACGGCCGCCTTGTCCAGCTTGGCATCTCTCAGGCACTTCTCCACGGGCTCCATACACCGCCGAAACAGGTCCATGTTCAGCTCCTCGAATCTGGCGCGCGTGATGGTGGCGTAGAAGTCAACGCCCTCGAAGAGGGAGTCGATCTCCACAGTGGTCTGCGTCGTTGACGAGAGCGTCCGCTTGGCGCGCTCGCAGGCGGTGCGGAGGCGGCGGAGGGCGCGCGCGTTGCCGGCGAGGTCCTTCTTGTGTTTGCGGCGGAACTCGGCGGCGAAGTGGTTGACCATGCGGTTGTCGAAGTCTTCCCCTCCCAAATGGGTGTCCCCGGCAGTGGCTTTGACTTCGAAGATTCCTTCCTCGATGGTCAACAGCGATACGTCGAAGGTCCCCCCGCCAAGGTCAAAGATGAGGATGTTCTTCTCCCCAGTCCTCTGCGCCTTCTTGTCCAGCCCGTAGGCGATGGCGGCGGCGGTTGGCTCGTTGATGATCCGCATCACGTTGAGCCCCGCAATGGCGCCGGCGTCTTTGGTGGCCTGCCGCTGTGAATCGTTGAAGTAAGCGGGGACGGTGACGACCGCGTTCTTGATGGGAAACCCTAGAAAGGCCTCTGCAACTTCTCTCATCTTGACGAGGATCATGGAGGAGATCTCTTCCGGGGAGAAGAGCTTCTGCTCGCCCTTGTAGGAGACGGCGATCATGGGCTTGTCGCCGGCGCCGGAGAGGACCTTGAAAGGCCAGTGCGCCATGTCCGACTGGACGGAAGAGTCCGAGAAGCGCCGGCCGATGAGGCGCTTGGCGTCGAAGACGGTGTTCGCAGGGTTCATGGCGACCTGGTTCTTGGCGGCGTCGCCGATGAGCCGCTCCGTGTCGGTGAAGGCGACGTAGGAAGGGGTCGTCCTGTTCCCCTGGTCGTTGGCGATGATCTCCACTCTGTCGTTCTGCCACACGCCCACGCAGCTGTAGGTCGTCCCCAGGTCTATTCCGATTGCCTTCCCTCCCCCATCGCCGCCGCCACTGCTGCTCTTCGCAGACGCCATCTTCTCTCTCTCTCGCTCTCTCTCTCTCTCTCTCTCGCTCGCTCGCTCGCTTCTTCTGAATATCGATCTGGGTGGGGAGTGGCTTCTGGGAGTGTCCTGGGTTTATATAGAGAGAGAGAGATGGTTCAGGAGAGTTGCAGAGCTTTGGGAGGAGACGATGCGGGTTATCGCAGGAAGGACAGGTGGAAGAAGACGATGGTGGTGCCGCCACGTGTACGAGGGGAGAGCCTTCTAGACTCGGCGGCCTCAATGGACTGAATGATAGTTAGCTGAAAAGAAGCCCAATATCAGGATGAGCTCACACTTTGGGTGGCCCAAATTCTTTGTCACGTGTCAAGAGGCGGGCCTTCGCGACTCAAGTGCCTCAAATGGGCTAGGCGATCATTGTGCTGAAATCAGCCCAATATCAGGATGGTCCAAGCAGGCCCATATTTGCCACGTGTCAAGACGGGGCCAGCTAGATCCGGCTACAAATGGACTCGGCGATAATTCTGCTGAATAGAGGTCCAACAGCAGGAGGAGGCCGACAACCTTTGGCCACGTGTCCGGTCCTTCCTCGATTCGGCAAATGGGCTGGAGCATAATTTGGGTAGTAAAGGCCCAATAAATGGTGCGTCGCAAAAGGCGAAGCTCGCCACCACGCGTCCAGAGGAGAGCTTTCTCGACCTGAGCGGCCCAAATGGGCTGGATAATAATTGGGCCTAACAGGCTCAATAAAATGTGGCTAGTGGGTCCCACTCTAAGTTCCGGAACGGGAAGGAACGGCAAAGAACGGCGAGATGATGATGGGGGGGTCTGTAGCAGAGGAAGGGAGAGGACGAGAGGGGGGGAAGGCGATGGAGATGGGGAGGGACTGGTCCGAGATGATGGCGGTGTGCTTGGCCAACGTGTTCCTCAGACTGAGCCTTGAAGATCGCTGGAAGGGGGCGATGAGGGTTTGCCGATCGTGGAGAGACGCGGCGAGGGACCCTTCCCTCTTCTCTTCGTTCGACATGGAGCCGTCCTTTGAGGCGGAGGGAGGTGGGGTCTCCGATGCGTCCGTCTGGTGGACGCCGGAGTTCAGGCGGCGCGTCGATTGCATGCTCCGGTCGGCCGCCGAGTGGGCCGGCGGGTCCCTCCGTGAGATCCGTGTCCGGCACTGCTCCGACGTATCCCTGTTCTTCGCCGCCGAGAGGTAACGATGTTCAGAAGCTGTTGATGATCCGTGGTTGATTAGGTTTTTTACGGTGATTCTCTAGAAGGGATTTTTTCGAAGGTCTCTTCGCCATCTTGACGAGGAGATCATTGGAGTCATGCTTTATTTGATGATTGAATTCTTCTTTGGATTTTGCGGGCTTCGGATTGATAGGATGAGCCTTGTGATGATAATTTATGGGAACGATCTCAAACAGATGTTAAAACTAACCGGATCTTTAGATCTGAAAAAAATAGGGATACTTCTTCGAGAACGCAGTAAGATAACCGTCGATCAGGTCTCATTCACTGGGACGATGAAGATCTGTCAGGCGCATTTCTTCTCCGTTTGATTTCTTAGGATGAATTGGAAGTATTCCTCTGCCTCTGCTCCGTCGTAGCAACTTCGGGTGAATGTTCGCACAATCCGATCTTATAGCCCTCATTATAAGGGCAATCGTTCTTGGCAGTCTGATCCCCTCCATATGAGTCCACCTCTCTTCAAACTCTGCCACTCTGATAATCTCCTATGAAAATGATCCATTCATTCTTCCTGGTCATCATAAATTGTGGCAGGAGGCCTTCCACACGATCCATACAACATTTTTCCATCGAATTTTGGTGGGGCATATTCATCATTATGTATGATCCTGAGTAGAAACTAGTTCCTTCAGTTGATCGTGATTCATCAATCCTCTCACTGGAGCTGACTTTTCCGATCATCCAATCTAGGCATTCAGTCATTCTTCCTGTTCATCATAAATTGTGGTGAGATTCCTTCCACACGATCCATGCAACATTCTTCCATCGAATTTCCATTCCAAATGATCCTGAGTAGAAAACTAGTTCCTTCAGTTGACCGTGATTCATCCATCCTCATTGGAGCTGACTTTTCTGACTATCCTATTATCCTCTGTATTAAACAAATAAAAAAATTAAAATCCCCCCCCCTCTTGCTGGTCAGCCAGATATGAATCCCATCACTCCTTTTCAGGATGAAGGCGATTCCTGAATCATAATCAGGATAAGATGATCTGTATACTCACCTGTATGCTCCATGTCGTCTTCTCCTCGATCTCCATCCCCAACCCAGATTCTGGCAAGAGAGTTAAGAATTTCTGAGGCATAGTTGGAGTGGATGGCCATCATTTCATTATATTATTTTTTCTTGCAAGCTTTTGGTTTATCCATCATATTTGATTAAAAAAAATGCAAATTAAATCTCTCAGGTCGCCAAATCTTCATGTTCTCTCCATCCGAAGCTCGCAGAGTGTGACGGATTCATCCATGGCGAAGATCGCCACCTTCTGCCCGATGCTGCGGGAGCTCGACATCAGCTACTGCTACGAGATCTCCTCTGAATCGCTCGAGCTGATCGGGAGATCTTGCCCGAACATGGCGATCCTGAAGAGGAACCTGCTCAATTGGCTGGACCCATCACAGCATTCCGGGATCATCCCCTCGGAGTACCTCGATTCCTGCCCTCAAGACGGCGATCAGGAGGCTGCCGCCATTGGAAAGTCAATGCCCAATCTCCGCCATCTCGAGGTTCGGTTCTCAAAGCTGACCATCAGAGGGCTCGTCTTGATCTCCGAAGGCTGCCATGAATTGGAGCTCCTGGACCTGTTCGGCTGCGGCAACCTCACGAGCAGGGCCATTGAACAGGCGTCCTCCAACCTCAAGAGCTTGAAGACCCTGGTGAAGCCCAATTTCTACATCCCCCGATCAGTGTTCCACACAGAGAGGTATGGTCATTGGAGACTCTACGATGAGAGGTTCCAGACCAATGTCTTCCAAATCTGACTGATCTTGTTGATCCTCGGCCTTGTACTCTTTCTCTCCCTCTCTCTCTGTCTGTATGAATGGTGCTGTCTGGCTCCTGCTGCTTCTCTCTATCTCTCTGTATGAATGTGAGCATGCGGCCATGTAAAGTTTATATTTATCGTGCAATTATCTCGCAATTATCTTGCTCCTGGCCCAAAACTAAATCATGAAAATGGGCAGTGGGCCCTTCATACGCTCGTCTAGAGAGAGAGAGAGAGAGAGAGAGAGAGAGAGGGAGGGCGAATCTATGAGAGATTGAGCTGAGCTGGTGTTCAAGGTCTCCAACCAACCCATTGTTTGCCTTAATTAATGTGCTCTATATTTATATGATTTTCTAAATAAATCATTTATATAAATATCCGGGAAATTTCTAGTGTCCATTTTATTCCATATGAGAGAGTATATAGTTTGATGAATAACTTCAATTTTTGAACTAAATGGACAGATATTAGTAGTATGCATCTGGAAATATTTAAAATCGTTTTTTTTAAAGTAAAATGGATAATTATTTTATGCGAAAATATCCACGCACATGATTATAGCTCGAAAACCAAACTTTAATATGCAAATTTTCATATTAATTTATATTTTTGTCTGAAATTTTAATTACTTTATTTGACCACGTATAATTAATTTTAAAAAGGATTTTTAAAGTAAAATGGATAAGTATTTTATAATAGAATATCAATGCGCAAGATCATACCTCGCAAAATAAACTTTAATACGAAAAATTTCAGATTTTTTTATTTTTTATGGAAATTTAGTTCATTTATTTGACCACCATCATTGTTTATATTAAAAAATATATTTTACTGGTGACGTTTGTCCACGTCATCCCTCCTTCTCTTCCCCCTCCCACTCCATCTGATAGGAAGAAAGAGAAATATCAGCGCGGAAGATAAAACCGCCGGCTCTCGAGCCGGAGGTGCTGCCGTCCTCTTGAATCTCTTGCTCTTTTCCACTTCCGCAGCTCGCAGCGGTGGGCGGCCGCTGCCTCGTTGCTGCTCCTCCACTGTCTGCATCAATGGAGGACGGCCTGTGTGAGAACAATCCCCATCTCCTCGGCCGGTGTACTGCATAGCTCCAGAGCGGCCAGTGGCGGCCCTTCTCCGGCTCGTCTCCAGGAAAGAGCTCGAGTTGCGGCTGCTCTTGGTTCGTCGTCTCAGCCTATTCCTGCTTCATGGAGCTCTGCTCTTCGGGAATTCGGTGCGGTAATGTGAGGGCTCCAGAGTTGGAGGCTAATCTGGTATCTGTGAATGGATTGTCGTTCACGAGGAGGAAGAAATTGGGGGATTATAGGGTGTTCCGGCCGAGGTTTCTCGTCTACAGTCATGATTGGAGGGAATCCCGTCTGGTTAAATGCCGGTGCTGCGCGAGAACGCCGTATATGGCGGCCGCAGAGGAGAAACGGAGAAATCGGATGAGTTCTGACGACGTCGCCGACGTCCTCAAGTCCGTTTCTGATCCGATCGAGGCGTTTTCCCTCTTCAGGTCCCTCTCTCAACAGCCTGAGGTCGTCCACACCACCGATTCCTGTAATTACATGCTCGAGCTCTTGAGAGCTCATGGGAGGTTGGAAGAGATGGCGATTGTGTTTGACCTAATGCAGAAACAGATCATAAAAAGGAACCGCGACACCTTCTTGACGATATTCAAGAGCCTGGACTTCCACCGAGGCATCAGAATCGCTCCTCTTGCTCTCTCAAGAATGAAGGGAGCGGGGTTTGTCTTGAACGCCTTCTCCTACAACGGCCTGATACATTTCCTCCTCCAGTCCGGCTTCTTTGTGGAGGCCATGCAGGTCTACAAGAGGATGATATCAGAAGGTATCAAGCCCAGTATGAAGACCTACTCTGCGCTCATGGTTGCAGCAGGGAAGAGAAGACAGATTGAGACCGTGATGGAGCTTCTTTCTGAGATGGAGGACTTGGGATTGAGGCCAAATGTGTACACCTTCACCATATGCATCAAGATTCTTGGGCAAGTGGGCAGCATCGACGACGCATTCAGGCTCTTGAGGAGAATGGAGGAGGAGTGCTGCAGACCAGATGTCGTGACCTACACAGTGCTCATAGAAGCCCTCTGCAACGCTGGTAGACTTGATGAGGCCGAGAACCTCTTCCGGAAGATGAAGTCCAGTGATCAGAAACCAGACAGGGTGACCTATCTCACCCTGCTCAACAAGTTTGGCGATGCCGGTGACCTCAAATCCCTGAGAGAATTCTGGGAGGAAATGGAGATCGATGGGTACCACGCTGATGTGGTCGTCTATACCATAATGATAGACGCCCTCTGCAAGGAGGGGCAGGTTGAAGAAGCACTCGCCATGGTCGATCTGATGAGAAAGGAGGACGTGGAGCCAAACATTTATACCTTCAATACCCTCATCGGAGGACTTCTCAGAGCTGGTCGATTGGCTGAAGCCCTCAGTTTCTTACATCTGATGGATGCTCAAGGCCCAAGACCCACTGCCTACACCTTCGTCCTCTTCATTGACTACTATGGGAAGTCTGGGGAGTCCGAGAAGGCCCTGGACATGTTCCAGGAGATGAAGAGGAAGGGTCTGGCTCCGAACACTGTGGCCTGCAATGCCTGCCTCCATGGCCTCATTGCTTCTGCGAGGTTCAGTGAGGCAAAGGACATCTTCCAAGAAATCGGCGGCAGCGGCCTCTCCCCAGATGCCATCACCTACAGCATGATGTTCAAATGCTACAGCAAGGCCGGCAGAGAGAGTGAAGCTGCCGAATTGTACTTCGAAATGGTGGAAAGCGGCTGCGTCATGGATGAGATTGCTGTTAATTCCCTGATCGACACGTTCTACAAGACGGGCAGAGAGGGCGAGGCGTGGGGATTGTTCCAGAGAATGAAGCAGATGAAGCTTTCTCCAACTGTAGTCACCTACAACACTCTGTTGGCGGGGCTAGTTAGAGAAGGGAGGATCAAAAGAGCCGCCCATTTCTTCGAGGAAATGGGTCGCCATGGCTGCCCGCCGAACACCGTGACCTTCAACGTCATGCTGGACGGCCTCTGCAAGAACGGCAAGCTCGATCTGGGGTTGAAGATGCTCTACGACATGACAGAGCGAGATTGCCTGCCCGACGTCCAATCCTACAACACCATCTTCCATGGTCTGATCAGAGATGACAGAATCTACGAAGCTCTGTGGCTCTTCAATCAGATGAAGAAGGTGATGTATCCCGACTTCGTATCTCTCTGCAGTCTCCTGCCTGGTTTAATCAAGCATGAACTGGTGGAAGAGGCCTCTCAGATCTCCGAGAACTATCTGCTCCAGCCCGGTGCTCAGATCGACAGATCCTCATGGGAGACTCTCATGGAAGGGATCCTGTCCAAAGCCGGAGTTCCTCCCTCCATCCTCTTTGCCGAGAAAACCGCCTCTAATGGCGGCACCTTCAGAAACGACTACCTTCTGTGTGCCGTCATCAGAGACCTCTGCAAGAAGAAGAAGCCCCTCCATGCCCGTGAAGTCTTCGAGAAGTTCAAGGGTCTCGGCATCTCCCCATCTCTGCAATCCTACAACCCTCTCATCGCCGGCCTCCTGGAGGCCAATCTCTTCCAAGAAGCTTGGGCCCTGTTCGAGGAGATGAAGAAGGCCGGTTGCTCCCCCAACGTCGTCACCTACAACGAGATCTTGAACGCGATGGGGAAATCCAGGAAGATCGAAGAACTACTGGAGCTGTACAAGGAGATGAGCTCCAGAGGATGCAAGCCCAACGCCATCACCTACAACACCGTCATCAGCGGCCTGGTCAGGTCCGGAAGACTGGACCAGGCGCTCGATTTCTACTACGATCTCCTGAGCAGGGACTTCTCCCCCACTCCCTGCACCTACGGGCCTCTCATCGACGGCTTCCTCAAGTCCAAGCAGACGGCCATGGCGGAGCAGCTCTTCAAGGAGATGGCGGAGTACGGTTGCAGGCCCAACTGCGCCATCTACAACATCCTCATCTCAGGGTACGGCAAGGTCGGCGACATGGACAAGGCCCTCGAGCTCTTCCACGGCATGGCTGCAGAAGGGATCCCCCCCGACGTGAAGACCTTCACCATCCTCATCGACGCTCTGTTCATGGCGGGTAGGCCAGAAGACGCCCTCTGCCACTTCGAGGAGCTGAAGAAGAAGAAAGGGGAGAAGAAGGGGCCGGGGCCTGATCTCGTCGCCTACAATTACGTCATCAATGGCCTCGGGAGGTCGAGGAGGCTCGAGGAGGCACTCGCCATGTTCGTGGAGTTGCAGAACGAGGGCATCTCCCCGGACCTCTACACCTACAACACCCTGATTCTTCATCTCTGCAAGGTGGGCATGGTGGAGGAGGCCGGGAAGATGTACGAAGAGCTTCAGCTCAAGGGCATGGCGCCCAATGTCTTCACCTACAATGCTCTGATCAGAGGGTACAGCTCCTCAGGAAGTGCAGACAACGCCTACGCCGTCTATGAGAAGATGGTGATGGGAGGTTGCAGACCCAACACGGGGACCTTCGCCCAGCTCCCCAATCAGTCAATCCGAACACCACCACTTGGGTTCTGACTTTTATTCCCTCCCCCCCCCCGGCGGTGATACATCTGCGAGGTCAACGCCCTCTGTAAATGGTCTCATGATTCTGATCTTCCTCCTTGGAAAAATCAATTATGAAGTTATTATGCATACAAAGATTGGATTTTTTTTTCTAGATTTAATAGGATGCATTCTGACTATTCTGGATTCGGTATTGGTCAATGCTCCCCAATCAGTCAACCTGCACACCACTTGAGTTCTGACTTCTGTTCCCCCCAGGTGATACATCTGCGATGTCAACGCACTCTGTAAATGATCTCATGATTCTGACCTTCCTGCTTAGAAAATTCAATTATGAAGAAAATTATGCATACCAAGATTAGTTTTTTTTTCTAGATTTAATATAATTTTTTCTGCTTATTTTGGCTTTTTTGTCGGTCAACGCCCAGTCCCCCCAATCAGTCTATCCGCTCACCACTTGAGTTCTGACTTTTCCCCCCAGGTGATACATCTGCGAGGTCAACGCCCGCTGTAAGTGGTCTCGGTTCTGATATTTGTGTCTGGAAAAATGATTTATTAAGTAATATTATGCAGACAAGATGACACTTTATTTATAGATTTAATGGAATGCATTCCGCTTGTCTTGGCTTTTATGTTGGTCAACGCCAGCTCTCCAGTAGGTCAATCCGTACACCAGTTGGGTTCTGACTTTTATCTCCCCCTCCCCCCCGGCGATGATACATCTGCAAGCTCAACGCCCTCTGTAAATGGTCTCATGGTGTGGGCCCACTCGCCCACAATATTAGGATTTTAATCATGGGGATCAGAGATGTTTGGGCCGTCTGATTTTTATAATAAATAGTAATAACTATAAATTATTTGAGCCTTTTAACTATGCACCGTTATGGATATTCTAGGCGTAGATATTCTATGCGAGGCCGTCACCGTTACGGAAAAGATAACGGTGTAATTCGGGATTCGATGGAGGGCACTATGGTCAACTAGGTCCAGAATTACAGGCCCTGTGGGGTTCTACTCTATCCTCATGGAGGGGGCCTCTTCCTCTCTTCCTCTCTTCCTCTCGTCGTTCCCTCCTCCACTTCGCGCGCAGTCGTTCTCGGAGAAGGTCGGGTCCTGTCTTCCGATGGCGTCCACCAATGCTCTGCCCGGTCAGGTGTCGAGCGCGCGTATGGCGTGCGACAGGAGAGGGGCTAGGTGTCCAGTCTCCTTCTGTAGGTGTTCCACGCTTCATCCTGAATTGACCTGTATTTGTGATGAAAGCTTTTGATTCTGTTAGTGTCTTTTTGTCCGTTTTCAGCTTCATTCGGGCAGTCGCTTTGGTTTTGATCTAGAGTGGATGACTGTGATGGCCCACTCTCTGAGTCTAGGGTTGAAACTGATGCGGTAATTCACGCTTATTGGTGAATTATTGGGGGTTTTGCGCTCGGACGACCTCTATTTTGGGCCTTTTTGGTCTGCTTTTCTGTTTTCTAGTCAATTTCTGTAGCCATTTCCCCTGAAATGTGTTTTCCTGCCTCATGTTTCAGGGGATGTTAGTTTATTATTATTTTTCCAATTATATTTCAGTGCGTTCATGCTATTTTGATTACCCGAGGAATATGGCGTTTGCGTAAATTGTAAATTGTAAGTCGGTGAAGGAAAAGAGAGAAAATGTGTTGGATTAGATGCTTCCGACGCGATATCGAGAAGTGTACTCATGTTCTTGTGACTTTACTTCAGAATACAGTATATCTGGGAGCTTTATCATTTTTCTGTTGAGCTAGATGTAAGACTATGTTTTCTTTCAGGTAATGAACTCCGCACCAGCAAGTTCGTGAAAGTTCCACGGCTTATATCACGGTCTTCTTGTAAAAGCGGGAAGAAAATTAGCCCTCTCAGAGTTAATGGTTTGTTCGGAGGAAAGAAGGATAAGGGCGACGGTGATGATGGTTCGTCAAAGGTGAGAAATACTGTAGTGAGTGTGGTGCAGATATCTGTTCTTGATCACTGGATGCTGCGTAATTGAAAAAAAAATCATGGGCCTTTGTTACGTCAGCCTTGCTTATGGTTTCCTTTTCCTTTTTCGTGGTAGTTGTAATTCGGATGATCTTCAATCATGAGTCTCTTGGCATCTGGAATGATTCATTCTTTGCTAATCACTAGATTGACTCTCATTTAATGCTTGGCTATGCTCAATTAAAACTTATTTTGCTTCTTACGAGTTGGTAATCTCCCAGTGTAATTTGGCCTAATAGATAGCTATTAGATGATTACGACTATTTAAAAATTATTTATAGCCCTATTTCTAAACAAATAAATGATTGAAGATAGATCCATAAGATTTGAAGCTCGTTACCCATGCATATGTCACTTATCCTGTTAATAGGTTTGAAGGCCAAACTTAGACAGGAACGTAAAAATTGGTTGTTGTTTCTTCTGGGAGCCTTTCAGCCTGAAACCAAGTTTTTTGCACTATCACTTTAAACAGTAGATATATTATATTCTTGGATATGCATAGTCGTCCAGTTTATTGTCCTTTGTTGATTTCTTTCCTCAATTGCTATGCCATTTAGTTGTTTTTGAGGATTAACCATTTGATAGTGTGACCTGTCGAGGATGCAATCCCTTTCTCCATAGTTGTTAAAGAATTCCAGTTGAATGTGCTATTTAGTTGACGATATAATCCTCTTAATGCTTTTCAAAGTCGCCATCCTTGATTAATTGTGGAAACACTGCCCGTGTCAGTATGCGATTTCCACATCCGTTGTTGAGTCAGTCTTCAGCAAGCTACAATGAAAATATTATTAGATGCATTTTCGTCGTCAATTTAAATTTTCTTAATTAAACTTTTCTTAATTACAGTGCACAACAGGATTAAATAATTGTTATGTGGATATATATTTTTTTTATTTTTTATTTTCTGTATCATGGAAACGTGATTGTGTTATAAAAAAACAGTATTTTTCATGTTTGTATAAAAAATAACTATTCGTGGTATGTTTGGTTAATCATGCTAACCTCATTCTTATGCATCACCTATTTCTATGATAGGCAGGAATCGTGGGCAACCTGCAAAATCTTTATGAAACCGTGAAGAAGGCACAGATGGTTGTCCAAGTCGAAGCTGTTCGTGTACAGAAAGAGCTTGCTGAGTATGTGTCATCTCATTATTTCTCACAACGGATAAACCTTAGTCTCATTGAATTCCTATAATATGGTTTCAAAATATTTTGTTCACAGAGCGGAGTTTGATGGGTACTGTGAAGACGAGCTAATCAAGGTAGGTCAACATTACTCATAACCTAATCTTTGTGTAGAGAAGAGTTGACTTATAGTGTTCTCTTTGCCAATGCTTGAATTAACCATGAATAACGATTCAGACGGTTTTATTTAAGTTAATATCAATTAAAACATCTCTTTTGGTGTTACTTTTCTCTAGAAATTAGTATTATTTTTTGAAAAAAATTCCTTGCAGGCAACCCTTTCTGGAAACCAGCAACCTCTGAGAATCGAAATCACTGAGGCTGCCATGGAGCTAGGAGCTGAGGTACTTCTTCATCGATTTGTGACTGCATCCCTGATATGATGATTTTTTGGAAAATATTTCTGTGCATTGAATATAAAATGCTTCTTGGATCAAGCTTTTCATCTTCTCGTATATCACCACATTGGGTCCTTGATTTGCCCAATTCAGCAGTACCCATTACAGATATTTCCTGCTCATTCTTTCCAGAATCAGCCATTATTCCTTGATAATTGGGGTTTTCTTGGGATGATCCCTTTCTGTCCACTGTTTCCTGCAGAAGCTCTCTCTTCTGGTGACAGAGGCCTACAAGGATGCCCATCAGAAGAGTGTCAAGGTAGGGCACCCAAGAAAGCCTTTCAAGCCACACCCACCAGCCTCTGCAACTCTCTTGATCTGAGATCTCCACCTTCTTTCTCCTAGGCCATGAAGGAGAGGATGAGCAACCTGGCCCAGAGCCTGGGGATGCCTCCTAACCTTGGCGAGGGGCTCAAGCAATGAAGGCCTTCCTCTGCCGCCAGTGGCGGTGGTGACGGCGGTGGTGGCAGGACAAGGTTCTCTGTGACTGCGGCCATTGGAGTCTCTGAGGATGTGCTGATCCGCCACAGGACAAGGTTTTGGTTAGTCTATGGATTCTAAGTGCAAGAAATATTTTTTATCTGATGCTTCATCTTCTTCTCACTAGATTATTTATCGATTAGTGGAATTTTTTGTCCATTTACTCGTAATTTCTGCCAATAAAATCGCCCATAATCTTGATATTTGTGTTTTTATGTGGCGTTTTATTTGCATATTCGGTGTTGTTGTGGCAGCCCTGGATTAAAATCGGAGTCTTGCAGGTTTTTGGCGGCCTTCATATTATACCCTTATGAAGAGAGAGAGAGAGAGAAAGAGCAGAGAGAGAGAGAGGAGAGGGGTAGAGATTGAAGCCTAAAATAAAGAAATTCTCCTGATGATTTGGGGAATATTGGAAAATGCGGTTTATATTATACCCTTAGAGAGAGAGAGAGAGAGAGAGAGAGAGAGAAAATGCGGTTTATATCTGATGATTTGGGGTATATTGGAAAATATATTATATACCCTTCTGAAGAGAGAGAGAGAGAGAGAGAGAGAGTAGAGATTGAAGCCTAAAATAAAAAAAATAGCCATATGATTGGGAAAATATTAGAAAAAGCCCAAGATAGAGACGTCACCGGTGGCTCCCATAATGAGTTTCAGGCCGTAATGGATTATACGCTCCGAGACAAAACTTCTCAATTATTGCCGGATGGCCCAATAATTCAAAATATGTCAACCCAGCCCAATTAGTACCTCTCCCTGGGCCTCTCCACGTATCTCTGTCTGGTCTAGAGCTCCTGGGAAGGGTAATTTAGTCATTTGAGTAGGAATCTACGGGTACCTTTGGGTACGTGGCTTAAAACTGGATGCCCATATATAAACAGGGGGAGGAGGCTCTGAGGCACCTATCTGTCCAGTGGTCTTCCTTCCCTTTCCGCCTCTTCTGTCTTTTCTGTGGCTGCCCTCTCTCATGGCGGACGACAGGGAGCGGCTCCTCCCTCCGAAGTCGTCCACATCGTCGTCGGCGGCCGCGGCGAAGTCAAGAGAGAGCGCGGCGGCGGCCGCCGCCGCCGCTCGGCGGCCGCTATTCCAGGGAATGGACTTCCTCGGGCTGAAGAAGCGGGGTCAGGGCCTACGGTCGTGGATCCGAGTGGACGCCGCCACGGGGAGCTCACAAATTATGGAGGTCGATAAGTTCACCATGATGCGGCGGTGTGATCTCCCCGCACGGGATCTGCGGCTTCTGGATCCTCTGTTCGTGTATCCTTCCACTATCCTGGGCCGCGAGAAGGCCATCGTCGTCAATCTGGAGCAGATCAGGTGCATTATAACGGCTGATGAGGTGCTTCTTCTGAACTCGCTCGACAGCTATGTACTCCAGTACGTCGTG